GAAGGGAGCAAGCAAAAAAGAAATACAATATGTAAATTATTCAGTTATAATCTGGAGTTATGTTAATGAAAGATCCTTATGCACATCATGGAAGAGTTTTCTTTTACATATATGTGCATGAGGAGGACATATAGACATGTTTGCATATTAATAATAGACGCACGTGCAAATGCACACAGGCAAGCCTGCAAATACTAGATAAGCATTTCTTCACACCACACCCAAAGTCACGTGGAGGCCGCAATAACTGTCATATATCCAAACAGCAATACGCATACAGTAGTTCTTTATGTGCATTAGTAAATGTGATCGATTAGTTTGCTTGAGGAAGCTCTATTTAAGAAATTACATATAGAGAAGCCTTTTTGGATCGTGACTAAAATTGACTAGAGTGATGCTATTACTATTCCAGGATGGATAACAGATGATTGATGGCACATTATCGAAGACCATAAGCCTGAATATCTTTAATTTCTTAAAAGTCCTACTCATATTCACATACAGTACATAAATGGTCTTTCAGCATGGAAAAAAAGAGGGCAGAAACATCACCTGAACTGAAAAATCAACCACGTCTGAATTTTTGTGCTTAAAAGGTGATGCAATTTTCTTTGGTGTTAAACAAATTCTCTTATTCAGGTTTTATCTGTGAGGCAATTATAAGTAAGCCACTCATATGGGTTCAATTCTCAAAAGTGTAGACTTCAGTTGTGTGGTGCTTTCAAAACATTGCTCTGTTTGTTTGAACAGCCCAGCTTGGCTTCACTGACTCAACAGTAGTGTGAATTTGGAATGTAAATACAGTATGTGGCTGATTGAAAACAATTATTAGTGTTGTTGAGGCTATTACAATCAGCCTTACACCTCAGATTTTCATCCGATGAATGATAAAGCAGGCAAAAATAAAATAAAATAAAATAAACTTGATGGTAGACTCTTTTGACTCAGACCAGTAATAAAAACCCTTGGCAATAAATAACTCAAAACACTCCAATACACTCAAAATACAGCAATATTGTGAAATATCGTTACAATTTAAAATAAATGTTATCTGTTTTAATATATTTTTAATATATTTTCAGCAGCCTTCAGAAATCATTCTAATATGCTGATTCTAATATGCTGCTCAAGAAACATTTCTTATTACCAATAGTGAAAACAGGCCTGCAGCGGCTATTTTGTGGAAACATGACACATTTTTATAGACTCTTTTATCAATAGAAAGGTCAAAAGAACAGCATCTATTTGAAACAGAAATCTTTCGTAACATTATATTTACTGTCACTTTTGTTCAATCAATGCATCTTTGCTGAATAAAAAAGAATTCCTGACACCTTTATTATACTCACACTGTATTTACTGTCTATGTACTGTATTCAATTTATGAAATATATATTTAACATGTACATATATATGAACATGCACATATATGATAAACTTATGTTTTAATCATCTTTTTTAAATGTCATTTTTTTTTTTTTGGAAAAAGATTAATTAGCTTGTGAAATACAGCACTGACACATCTAAAGTGTCTGAGTTAACACACTTGCAGTCACAGTATCTTTGTGTTTGGTAGTCTGACAGGGGCTCAGGTGCTCTGGGACCCCCACTAAGAGGTCCTCTCTCTGGGGAGACTCTATAATGAGTGGGGCCCCTTTGGATCCAGACACCAAACTGGCGCCGCCCTGTGCTGTCCCTGGATCAGTTTCAAGCACAGCTTTCTACTCTAGTGGATCTAAATTAATCACGTCCCTCTGCTATAACGGTGATCCATCCTTAGTCTACATTCTTGTCTTTGACCTACACTTTAATCTGAAAAGTGCTTCAAAAACTTGTACAGATCGGGCTTCAGCAGAATTTCTATGTCAAACCGAGAAGGGATGAAAGACATGTACGGGCCTGTTACGCATTGATCGGTCTGAAACAGAGCTTTTCTGACCGGATGAGGGCTTTCTCCCCCACTGAGAGACCTTAATGCTTGTAGGAAGTGGGGAGAGAGCAAGACGTATATGAGGGAGAAGTATAATGGTTAAAGTGAAGTTGGATTGATTTTAGATGAATCTTATAATCAAGTTAATGTGTGGTTCTGGGTGCATTAACTTCTGCATAATGCACTGAGAACGCAGTGACCCAAAAAATAAAAAATAAAAAATGCATGCGTGATTTTAAAACAAATCCTGAAGTGGTTTTTCATTAAAGAATAAAAATGCAATTTCTATGCAAGTTGTTTGAAGTTTTAATCCCATGTTTGGAGTTTTAATCCCACCCTTTCTGGCTCTATGTTCCCAGTTCCATACTAAATCCACACACGAAACAATGAAATAGTTTCAGAATCATTCTGAGGGTACACTGGCTTTAAAAAAAAAAAATAATAATTTACATTGTTCAAATCTGTATAGAAAAAAAGAGGAGAGTCTAAGATCTAAAGGCATCTTTACAAAGCCAAATTAAGGCTGCTCTGTACTTGCACAAATTTCAGTCTAAAGATGTAATGCCACATAAAAGCTAGACTAAATTATGCCTGCTTAGACCGTATAGTATTGCTTTATGAATGCATTTATATCACCTATGAGCAGCATAAGACAATATGTGTAAAACCACTGCAGAGGCACTTCTGTGTCACATTTTAAGTGTAAAGTAAATTTGGCATAAGTCTATTACATACCCACAACTCCCTCAATAATATTTTCCCCAAACACTTTTCAAGTCATTTCATCACCCCTGCAGCAGAACCTCATGAAAAAAAAAAAACAGTAAATTTAATGAATACATTATGATAATATCCATTAAGTCTTGATGCACAAGAAGTTAATTAAAAAGTAGTCAGCCAACCCTAATAAAAGCGGGTCATTTCATTATTGTCTAGATGATTTGGCAGAGGTATTATAATTTTAGGAGTGCTGGAGATTGAGCAGAGAGGGGCAGTGCCGTTTTTCTTTCTCTCTAGGGCTCATTTTCCAGGGGGAAAGACTCATGTGTCACACCCACCTCTTCCACAGCAAAACAACACCCTTTGAACTGCTCTGAGAGGGGGTAGATGTAACAGCTGGTGACAAAGGCAGCATTTTAACTGTTAGAATCATATAATCTAGGCATAATGGTCATTTATTCGTCCATTAATTGATAAAGTATTATTAAACGTGCCGTGTCGGTTCTTTTGTGCAGTAGCCGGTTCTCGCGCGGTAGGGCCTGCACGCGGCTGCCTAGCAACAACACGAGCCCCGCTGCATCAGCACCACCACCAGCGCGGGGCTCAGCCTCCGGCCATCCGCACAAGAGCCCGCTCTGGAAGAATTCAAGGATTTTGAAGGGGCCATGTCGGGATGCAAAGCATAAACCCAAAACACATCAAACGATATAATCGTGCTTTTAACTGTGGACAAGGTACTCCGATATGAGGGATTAAAAAAAAAAAAAAAAAAAAAAAAAAGGAAAAAGAAAACAGGTTTCCAGTCTACACGAGAGCCAATATCATGGCGTCTGAAAGTTGAAGAATCATACCTTCGTACAACAAGGCTCCAGGGCCTCTGATTAATAAAACACAGTACGCTTTAATAATAGCAGCATGTATATTTAATCTATTCTAATCTACTAACGCAATCTGGTTGCGTTTTGTCCAGTGCTACAGTGAGTTTTTAACCCCTCTACTCTTTGTGATTATGGTGTAATGAATCTTGTATTATATTCGTGCACTCACACAATATCATTGCAATCCGGCATCACATAAACAGTACTGACATGAATGTGATGGATGCGTGGAGTCCAAAATTCCTTCACGTTCATGCACCGATTAAATCTTTGGAAAACTAAGCTATTGCCTGAAATAGTGATGGAAAATTAAATGAGGCAAGAGATGCTTACCTTACAACATCCTCTCCTCTTTGTCCTTCACGCACACAGACGCTATGAATCTGCAATGCAATGTGTCAAAACAGCCGCGTGCACCTATAAATCGATAATTAGGCTGGTTTTCCAGTATGAATGGTATTGTTTTGGGTCTGTGTTTTTCTAGACCTACGCATCCCCTCTGTTTTTTGACGTTTATTGCAGGCTGGACCAGCCCACGACCACGCCTGCCAGACCTCCCCACTGTCTACATCCACATTCTGCGAGTATTGTCACGAGAGCCTTGAGTATGTTCGACTAAAGTGGAAAAACACTGGTATGCATATACTGGAAAAATACACGCATGCAAAACGGAGCGTCGGAAGGGTTTTCCGCCTCGGAGCAGTGAATAGCGTAATTTGTCGGAGCACAGATGATTTATTCTGGATGCCTTTTTCTGCTGAATGATGCAGCTGCGGATTAAAGACGCGGCCACTGGCGCCACATGCTGGTGGTTTTCTGATATTACAACGAACAATTGGGAGGGGAAAAAAAAAGGTACCATGCTTTTTCTAAAAAGATTATTCATTTTCCGGTTTAAAATGTACAAAAAAGCACGGCCTGTAATTATGCATATAATTAAATATCAAATAAATTGTGAAGTCGGTGAATAAAAAAAAAAAAAAAACTTACTTAAAAAAAAAATCATAAAATGCTTGTCAAGTAAAATGATTAACGTTTTACACTTTGTAGAAACGTTTTTAAAAGTCTTTGAGATTGCTGAATTTATATTATGAATTCATCATTTCAGATAGCCTCGGAGATCAACAAATACAATTTTTTGTACAGCATCTTAAACATCCTTATGTCATATGCCTTTTACCTTCACTGTAAAAAAAAGATAATTGTACAGTTGTAAATAACAGATTTACAGGAGCATGTTTTACAAGAAAATATGTCTTTCCACATTAAAAATTGATCGTTTAATTCAATGTGTTATTGTTGCTTTGTAATTATTTTATATTTGCTAGAAGTTTCTCAGTGAAATACTTTCTATACCATTTTTCTGTGTGTTGATGTTGAAAACATTCATATTTTGTAAAAACTGTTAAAACACATTAAAATTACTATTTACAATTTATTCACATTTGTGAACAAAGCAAATAAGCCACAAAATAAACTTTATACACATTTTCTCCCATATTTACAGGAGTTCGCACTGAGAAAACGACAAAAAAAAAATAAATAAAAAAAAAATCTCATGACAACTCAGTATCAAATCAACCATCAATCCTCATCTTGGTTGACACATATTTTAGTAATATTACTAATATTGGAGACAAATGGCACAAACAACAAAGTGAAGAGGCGCATACAGAAATGTCAGCGATTCGAGGCACCAAAAGGCGTCAACCTAAGGCACCGAAGACGAGAGTGTGCTTGCTACCACAGTTTGTTCTGAGCCAACCTGAACAATGTACATTGGTACGACACACTGCACTGTCATGTTGTTGAGATCAATGTCATCATCTGCTCCTGTTGCCATGGTGACCAGTGGGGCAGCCACGCTCACGCCCTCAGACAGAAAGGGATTTGACGTTGACTCCAGGACCTGAGAATGAGACGGAGACAACTGCAACAGTGATAGCATGCAGAGAGATTTCAGAGGAAAACTTCCAAAACCACTACCATTCAAAGTTTGAGGTCAGAAAGAATTTGTCTTGAAAGAAATTAACCCTGAAAAGCCTACTGTATAATATTTGATACATACATTTTATAATGCCTTTCATTAGCAGGATCAAAACATGTACACATGTATTTGTACACAATATACTACATGCCTTTTGTTGTCCGATTGACAGTTTATACTTGTTTTAGCAAGTAAAAGTCATTGTTTTTCTAAAAATTCTCATTCAGGTCGCAGTACACCTGTCTTTTTGCTGACATTATGAATTTTTTTAAAAAGTAAACAAACATTTAGATTTTTTTTCTTATTTTTAATATACTTTATTACTATACTAAAACTTGGGTTTACTCGATTTCCATACATTTTCAAAAAAATCTGGTTGAAATGCAAGTATCAAATATGATATCAGGCTTTGAGGAATCTCTTAATAATCTTTGTATTGCATTATCTATTTTGCCCCTACAATACAAAACTACAGAACTTTGATCATAAAACTAAGCATTTAAATATCATTTTACGAAGACATGATATTGGGAGATTTAGAGTGACAATTGAAATTTATACGCATTTTATGATAAGCAGTGTTATACTGTTATAGAGATTGATTACAGATTTACATTACAAGCTACCAGAATTTAATCTTATTGATAAATATAAAAATCAGCAACTGCACCGAACTGCATATTTGTGCACAGTTTGGGCCTCTGAGTGAAAATAAGCTGTTTTTTCCCCTCTGCAATCGCACAAATCACATTTGATATATATATATATATATATATATAAAAAAAAATCAGACTATAATGTATAATATTTCACAATATTACTGTGTGTTTTGATCAAATAAATGCAGCCTTGGTAGGCATTAGAGACTTTTCTCAAAAACATTTAAAGATCTCAGCAGCACCAAACTTTAGAATAGTGTTCTTCCTACTGTATATTGTGACATCAGAATGCATTTACTACTCCATCTTAAAACACATTTTTCAGACTTCTAGAATTGGAAGGAACTATTACAGAGAACTCACATCCTCCATGTTCCAGAGATCAGAACAGTCAGTCTCCAAGCTGGAGTAGTTGATTCCAGTCTCCAGCAAAACATCTGCATTCCCATTACTCTGCAAAAAAAGTTGTACAGTATATTTGAATGTTCCTGTTATATCAAATAGTTCAAAGGGGAATGAAGTGTAATTCAGGACTGAATGAGTGACACTGCTATGCCCTTAACTCACAGTGGCAGAGGTGTGATTGAGCACTGCTGACAGGAGCCGGATGTACTCAGTCGCAGCCTTCAGCATGTCCACTTTACTAGGCTTTCGGTCTCGCGGCATCACTGGCACAATACGCCGAAGGTACGAAAACATGCTGTTCAGGCTCCTCACCTGGGTGGAGCAGCACATGACATTATTAACTGGCAAAAATAAAATTATGCCCCTTTTTACAATCTTCAATGAACAATATTTCAATCATTAAAAAGAGCGGGACATTCTAAAACATTTAAATGTGAAAACACTTAAAGTGCCTTTAAAACAGTGATATCAATAGATCAAATTCAGTACACACCTTACTGATGATGCGTGCTTTATGCAGGCAAGCAAATGAGCCCGGAATATGAACGCAATGTGCTAAATGGTTAAACGTCTTCTTTATAATGGTTTTCTATGGGAAATTTTTTTTAATATTAAACTTTGCACATTGCGTTTATATTCTAGTTTCATCTGCTTGCCTGTGCAGAGTTTGCATCATCAATAAGGTGTGTACTGAATTTGGCCTTTAAATATCACTGTCTTACTACATTACTACTTAATGCAAACCTCGTAAAAATAACTGGCGGTCAGTGGAGCAAAGCCTTGTTTTGCCCTCCATGTGGGCATTCCTGTAAGGGTGTGACGTCACGTGAAAACTATCACAATGCATCAGATCAACTCTGAGAAAGTCAGCTAGTCTCTCTCTTTAAATGAATTTCCATAATAAAAATTGTATATTTGGAATCCTGAGAGCTTTACAGCTTAAAGGGGCCATGAACTGCCTTTTTTATTATTTTGTGCTTTTCTCTGAAGTCTGCTTATCAAGATTTTTACATAAAAAAAAAAAAAAAACAATTCAGAAGTAATGGCTATTTTCTGTCCTGTTTTGACCCCCTCATCATCAGAACGCTCCGTCTGAATAGATGTGGCGGATTTTAGACTCGGAAGTAAACGCCCACTGCTTTGATTGGCTAACAGTTGAGTTTTTTTTATTTTTTATTAAACAATTATAAATGCATTATAACAGAATCTCAGAAAATATAACAGAACAAAAAAAACTGTGATAACCTAGATAACAGCCAGGGGAAAGAAAATTGCAATCTAAATAAAACAACGCTAAAGTAAAAATGGCTGCTAACAGTCGAGTATCTGACCACTTGACTACTTATGACGCATTTCCTGTATTTGGTCCAAGTGTTCAAGTGAGCATGAAGACCACAAGTGTGTGTAGAGCTTTTCATTACCTGATAGGACACACTTATAGTGTTGTAAAAATTTTTTTATTTTCAATACTATGCATTAAAAAAACAAAACAACTTCTAAATGTCTCTTCAGTAGTCCCTATAACAGATGACAATTTAATTTTGTGGTGCTTCTAATTAAGTGATAAAAAGAAGTTGCAAATGTTGTACAAAATTATCACCACTACTCATTTGCACCAATAAAACATGCAACTCTTTGTTTTACTACCAAATTATATGTAATACCTAACTATTATTAATATTTATTTCCACAACATGATGCATGATGGGATACACTAAGCCTCAAATACCGCTCCGGAGTGGTATTCGAGACAGTGTGGATTTAGTGTGCATTAAGGGCACACTGAACAGTCTTGCGCACTTCCTGTCGCGCTCACACGCTCTCAAGTGGCCAAGACCGCAAGTGTGGGTTTTTGGACAAGGGGTATGTTTGACAGCCTACATTCTTCGTAGATGGACGCTGCTGTGATTTAGGTTAAAAACACATACATACCCAGTACATAATCAAACGATCTGTAATAACAGAAAGCAATAGTGATCACTTAATAAAAACAGTTACTCACACTTGTGTGGCACTACATTACCGTCTGATGCAATATAGTCGCACAGCATCATCTTTTAGTTTCAATCTTTCTGAAAATCCTGCGTAGAATTGTGCCTGGTTTGTAAACGCATCCACGTTAAAATTAAGTGAACTTAGGACCAAGTTCTTCAATAAGATTAAAGTTCAGCCACTCTTTCCTAATTTCAGGATCAGAAGGAAGGCAATGCAAAGATTGCCATATTTATCGTTTGGTTTCTGCTTAGACCGCATTTGCTTCTCTCATTATTTACAGTAGCCTACATGCGTGAATCGGTGGGCGGGGCTAAACAGGCAGTGATGTAGAAGCAGGAATTGATCTTCTGCGGAGGCGGGGTTTAGCAACACTATTACGTCATAAAGTGGCACATTACACAACATGCCGTTTTGGCAGATTGGCTTAAATATAGGCCGTTTTTAGACTAATGAGGAAGTTTTGAGTTCTGAAACTTACAGGATGTTTTTAATAGTACAATGACATCTTATGTCAAAAGATCAAGGGAATTTTGATTTCTCAGTTCATGAACCCTTTTAAAAAAGATCAAGGGAATTTTGATTTCTCAGTTCATGAACCCTTTTAAAAAAATCCATTTGAACATTTAATTCTGTCAAAGCTATAGTTATTAAACCAAACAAGCATTTACTGAAGGAAATAGTTTAAATAATTTTAGATTTTTTTTTACATTTTTATAAAATAAATTGGATTAAAAAAAATTGGTTCTGGATTCCTACACAGAAATAAAACGTACAAAAGCTGTCAATGGGGCAGTACCTTTTCAAAAGGTACATGTTTGTACCTAAAGGGTCCATTTTGGTACCTTAAAAAAGGTACATATTAGAACCTAATAGGGGAGAAAAAAAAAGGTTGAGAACCACTGAGTTAGATGATGTCTTAAACTTTATTTGTATGATGGGCAAGTACCATATCTACAAAGCTAGATAACTTAAATTTAAACCCAGCTGCTAAATATTTGCTTCTGTTCATTATTGTCATCAAAAAGTCTCCTCTAACAAAAAAAAAAAAAAGCTCTGAAGACATCTTGTATTACAGTAAAGTAAACTAATTTATTTGTCATTTTTCTTCTCCTCTGAATTCCCCCATATGCATGTTCTTTGTTCTGTATTATTTGTTTTTAATTGTATTGAATTATATTTCAGCAAAAAAAAAAAAAAAAAAGTTCTGGCTAATGCAGGAAGGCCTTGATGACAGTCATTGGCCCTGAGACTTTGAAGAGCAAATCCTACAGGCGCAAGTTAATAAGAGATTTTTACAACAATTTTTCTGTAAAATCATAATGAAAACCACTAATGTAATGCTGAGGTTAACAAAGAATCTGTATGTTAAGCAATGAACCTTAATAAGAGTTCAACACATTGCAAAAGAGAGGAAATAAATGTTGAACAACAAAAATAGTATTTTCCCCAGCACTAGGCACGTTTATGTGCCAGGGATTCTTTTTTTTTTTTTTTTGTGATTTTATAGTTTTTTTTTTGTGAAATGAAGAATTTTCTGGAACCATTTTTCCACAAATTCCAAGTCCTCTGTTATGGTGTCATTTCCATCCCTAAGGTTTTATCGAAAGTTAGTGTACTTGAAGCTTTTACCATGGAGACAGTGTCAGTGAAGCATGATGAAACGAGGAAAAACAGAAAAGGAAAAAAAAAAAAAAAAAAAAGGTAGGCTAGCTAAATATCACTTTTGGCCAAGAATTTTTTCATCCCATCTTCAAGCTACACTGGCAAAATTGTGACTCTGTCTGTGAAAATCCAGCAAAAATAATTTTTTTGGTGATTCACCGTTTTCTATGTAAAAATCATCCTTCATACGGTAAAGAACATTCTGTGAAAATGTAACATTGATATCTTTATTACTGACGGAGTAAGACTATGTCAAAGATTGAAATCATACTGAAATTAATGGTTGAAATTAGGGCTGCACGATAAATCGCATGCGATATTTAACGCGCATCTTGTCAGAAAACCGGTTCTTTAATCAGCGGTAAATCTCCATCACCTGCGGGCTTTCACATTGAGCAGCATTAACTACACAGAGCCGTTGTTCACTGACGAGCTGCGCAAAAAATCGGCGATTTATCGTGCAGCCCTAGTTGAAATCAAACTTTGATGCTTGTTATCTCAATTACATTGAGACTTTAGCCTGGATTTCACAGAGAGGGTCACAATTATCCAGCGGTGTGTGTGTGTGTGTGTGGGCAAAGAGTAATGATATGTATTTTTATCATTACTCTTTGCAAGACAAGTGTTTCAAATGATGTTTCCATCACAGAACGCCTTCACAATGTAAAACAGCGCAATAACTGACTGGGGATCAACAGAAAATGAACAAAATCCAAACCAGCAGCGCTTTACTCGCCAAAAGAGGGCAGCAATGTACAAATGTGGAGAACCTTACAAACACTCACCCGCAATCTCTCCTTTGCGTTTGCAAGCTGTCGTCGCTTAACAGCTTTATCTCGGTCCTCCGTATCGATATACTGGCCGTCATCCAAACGGACAAATTTACCGATACTCACGTGAACGGGAAGCGAAGGTTCAGCGCTCTCGCGCAATAAAATATCGCCCATAAGTTCGCGCTCCGGGACCTTCAAGAGACCCACTATGGCCCTGAACTTTCTGCCAGTCATGTCAGCTGACATTCGTGTAATTTGCTTATTTATTTATTTATTTTTCAAAATGCTAAATGAGACAGTCGCCCAGCATAACACATAATCTAATACAACACAGTCAAAACAAGATATATGTAGAGATAAAGCATTTTAATTGATCATATTGTAATATCTATTGGCCTAGAAGTTGGCCAACCGACTGATTAAAAAAATCTATTTCAAACTAGTGCCACCTGTGCGCCAAACTCCACCCTCTCCTAAGTAGAGCACCTGTCCTGTGATGATTAGGTGCAATATCAGTATTCACCGCTAGGTGGCAGGTAAAATCTATGCTCGCATCTCTGAATGAAAATAAATTTATCGTTCTGAATCTCTCTTTTGATGATTTTGGAAAAGACTTGTGATTGTGGTGTGATTAAATGTGAAGCTCTTATTCTGCGAGCAGTAATGTTAATATCATAATTTAGAACTTTTTTTATCTGAATGGGACAGCAGGGCAAGTTTCCTCTTGGAGAAGTTGTCCCAAGGGCTGTATGTCATTAGGCCTAAGCAGTCCAATGCATTAACTATACAGTGAAGATTGAATTGTGTTTTAGGACAAGGATATTTTTCTTAAGTGTCAGGGCATAGCCACATGGGGTTTTCTTCCCTTTGATCTGATAGTAAAAGATACTACTTCAAAATCTATCCCCATGTCTTCATTCAGTGAAACAGTGCAGCATGTGTCACTGGTCATGAACATATATTCACTGATGATAGTTACACTCACACATTATCTATCAGGAAAATTATTGTTTATCGCCTTTTTTGTTGTTAAAAACAGTCAGTTAAGCGGAAATGCATCTTTCTGTTGAGTACTCCATACTTATACTTAATTATGTGCTTTACTTCAGAGTGATGATAAATAAATACATAATATTCCTTAAAATATTTCTAGCAAATTTCATTCAAAATAACTGTATATTAGTACAGAAGCCTGAAAAATGTAAACATAAATCCAATGTAAATCCAAACATCCTGTTCAGCTTACTTTCCGGTTGAAGTTATAAAACCACACCCAAGTCTAACACAACTCTTTGAATAGATAAGACAATGATGCATCACAAAATCACCAGACTGTCCATCAAGCACCTGATCTGAAGGAGTGGTGTGAGAGTGAATTAAGTATTGTCCAATTCAGTTATCAATCTTAAAGGAATAGTTCACCCAAAAATGAAAATTGGCTGAGAATTTACTCACCCTCAGGCCTCAGAGTTTGTTTCTTCATCAGAACAGGTTTGGAGGAATGATAAATCACTGATAAAAACATCACAATTATGCACTTGTGAAGTGAAAAGCTACATGTTTGAATAAAAAGCAAATGCATCATTAAAACCTTTTTAACTTCATGCATCCAGCTAAAATACGAGTCCTCTATCCATATTGCTTTCTCCATTGAAAAAGTTGTCTTGTCTGAATCAGGAGAGAAATATGCATATGTCAAGCTCCGTTTAAAACAGCTCTAAACAAATATGTCGGTGAATTTTGATGTGAGAGAACAGTAGTGTATCAAATTAATGAAAGTATAAATCTTTTAGTTTAAATGTGCTTAGGTGAATAGCCTTTATGGTTCTGTTAGGAAAAAAAAAAGTTTGTCTGCATGTGTTCAGAGATTAGAATATAGAGCTTACAAAATGCTTATCATCTACTCAGCGTTATGGCGCAGAATCTGCCCCACCAAAATTTAAGGTCGGGAGCCATTACTTCAAAGTTAATTAATTTTTTTGTTCTCAAAAGTTAATTAATTTCTCTCCAGTTTGTAATATGAAAACCCTCCTCAAAGAAGATTTTCATGACAATGTGACCACAGTTTATTTTTATCTAGGAACACTTTTTAGGAAATCAATTGCATTTTTTTTCTTCAGCAAGTAAACCAAGATGCCTTTGAAGAAACCTTTTTTTTTTTAAGCTACAGAACAAAAAGAATATATTTCCAAACAGTTCTATTTGTTCAATCACATAATTTTTTAGCAGTTTGATAAATCATTCTGTATTGCAATGGAGAAGAAATTACTGACATGCGATAAATATTATAAAAATACATAAATAACTGTCTGGATCAACAAAAAGCCAACACTGATATGATTACGGCACAAAAACGGAAAACAATTCAAAAAGTGGGCCCATGTATTACAATTGTTCATGCAAGAGGCCGTAGGTGTCCTATGATATTCGCGAACAATTGAGTCACATTCGTAGGCTTGGAATCTGATCAGCTGCTGTTTTACATTAATGCGCCAGTGGGATGTCAGGAACTCAATCCATGCTAATCTGATGGGACCAGCTCTCTCCAAAGACATTCCGTGAATTTATAATCATACTAATTCACAGGCAATAAGTGATGTTGCAGGTATTTCAAAATTGTGCCTCAATGATAAGTGGAAACTTACTGACACTAGTCGGTCTCTTACTGACACATATTACCTTTGAACAGCACCCTTGTTGCTTTGGTGAAATCTCAGATTATGAAAGACAGTGACATAATGCATGCAAAGTAAATGTAATAGAATTACTATATATATATAAAATCTGGCAACAAATTCCATGGCTGGTTTTAGACGGTAACAGATGGTCACACGGTTTTTAATAACTCACTTTATACACATTTTCAGTGATTTCTGCCCTTATGAACTATTCCTAGTTTGGATCTATCACGAATGAGCTAAAACTTCTAACCTCCCAAATGCGTAGGTGAACAAATACAACATTTGAAATCAAGACACAATGAAAAATGTTGCAGCGAAAAATAAAGAAGTCATAATGAAACTATTGCTGTAATGCTATATTATGCAATACGGTCTAAAGGAGACGTGCCTAGTTACACATCTACATTGGTTCATGTTATAAACACACACACACATATATATATATATAGTTATATAGATTAGTTGACAAGCCCCCCATGTTATAAGAACGGAATTAATTATAAATTCTTCACATGAAACACTACAAAAAGTAATTTTCTTATGTTTAAATATTAAAAAGAAGAAAAGAGAAACTGCCAGTGGGGTAAGAAAAATACAATTATATTCCCCCATTAGCCTACCCCATCAGCTGATTTTTTTTCTTATTCTTAAATTAAAACTCACTTAATTTTGATAATTTCTTTTCAGAAAACAAGAGCAGTATGAATCCTTAATCTTGCTTCAGCCTAGACCAATTTTTTTTTTATTTATTTCTAGAACGGCTACATCAAATAAAACTACACATTTGACAAAATGTGAAAAACTGCATCCCATTGTGTTTGACTTGAGCTTCCAGTGACAAAAAACAACAACAAAAAAAACACACATTTTTAAAAGTATTTAAAAAGTACGTAATATTTTATAAATGCATATAGTCCGAGTCTGAGTGGGGGGGGGGTAAAGTTTAAATCTGTAAAGTTTCACACACGTTCTTCGTGGCCAATCAGCGGAAAGGATCTCAGTGACGCAAGGCTACTCAAATTACTAGTGCGGGAAGTGGGTGGAATTAAGAGTGACATCACTTCGCATCATCATCGCACCGGATAGCGTGAGTTCAAGAAAGAGTTTGAGAAACTTGAAGAACATGAGCACGAGCCCAAAGTGACTTACAATCAGTTTAGAACACATCCAACACACTTAAGAAGTTTAAGAGACCCAAGTTGACAGAAGACGATGATCGCCTCTCATTTACTGGCATACTACTTCACGGAGCTTCACCATGACCACGTCCAGAAAGTAAGTACAGCAGCCGGCTCGCGCTAAAAGCCGGCTTATCGACATCTCACATGGTATATTGACTTAATCAGGCCGATGGATAAGTGGAGATCATTATCGGGCAATTACGATGTTTGTTGTTATTTTAGGTCGTTCACATCCTTTAACAACTACACGTGTATGTATGTGATAGCGAGGTCGGTGTTACATCACTCAACACCAAATAACAGCATAATCCTACTGATACCAGGCTCCAAGGGTCCGATATTTAATTAAAAAAAAATCAGTTGTATTGATTTCCTGTTCCAAATTACCCAATATCGCGTATTTCCCTTGCCGCATGAAAACCGTCAGTTTCCGCATTTTTGAAGCACGGAGACTTACGAGTAACGTTAGCCTACATCGTTTGGGAGTTGAGAGATGCTCCTTACCAATGATAACCTTGGATAGTATTCGTGTCCGTTTATATTCATGATATATATCATAATTGTCTAGTCGTCAGTGTGAAATGATGGTCTATACATTAATTGATAATAAACATAAATGACATTGGATAAACTAGCTGGGCGAGTTTTCGTGGCGCTTCCTGCCACGACGTACCTTTAACTGAGCGAGTGTTGCTCGGGTAACCTGAGCCACTAGCCCCCTCCCTTTTCAACTCTCGTATTAGCAATGAACTAAGTGAAAATAGCAGTATTTTTAGCAATATGCTATTTACACTCTCTGCCACCGTAGTTTATTCCATTATAACAAAACCGTGCAGCGTCTTCTGTGACCCCGGACACGCACGTAGACACTTAAGCGGCGACATCTGACTTCTGCTTTTTGCTGTGATGTCCTCAACACGCTTCAGACCAGCAGATGACATCTCTGGAATTGGCAAGAATCAAGATGTTTTCTTACCAAGATATTTATGCCCCTGCACTCCTACACATGCCACCTTTTATCCTCCTGGGACCCAGGCATAGACTTTTGTCCTCTGTACTATAGAGGACATTATATTTGAGTGAATTTCTCTGAGACCATACATGCCACAGTTTTAAGTTTGTACAGAGCACATTCAGGGCTTTTTAGAGATATCAAATGTTTGGAGGTTTGATCATAAACACTGCCTCTCCTTGGTCTTTAAATATGACTGATATTGACAGAATGTTCAAATGTAGCACTCTTAGGGAAATATGATAATGTTTTGTAATTATAATTTAAATCTGGCTAATTTTCAAATTGTTTGTCATAAATAAACATCTCAGAAAAATGTTATGGGGTTTCAAATCGAAGTATAACTTTGTTACGAAAAGGGGCATAGCCTAATTTTCATACATGTCTTCTGTAGAGGACACCAGGACAAACATCTTGGGGCATTTTAGGGAGACACAACAATAGGGAAAGAAATTATAGATCAATATTCATAGATCAATATTCCTATGAAATATGAGATATTCTTATGAAAATGTTGCCAAGTTATTACTCCCATTGTTACACTTCTTTTTTCATTATGGTTTGCCCCAAGAACACATTAATATGCAAATTAGATGCGATGTATAGAACCATTGTATAAAATAGGAATACCAATTTATGGACATTTTACGCACATTGCATAAAGTACAGTAGTATATCAAAATCATTATATTATATATTTCATAACATGGTTGAGAATCAACTTTGTACAAAGTTTGGCTAAAAATAGCCTGAAACTTAAAAACTGATTGGTGAATGGAAAAATAAAACATTGTTTTTGCCTATACATGCCTTTTCATGTCTATTTATTTTTTTGAATAACTTAGTTCTGGCGTCCTCTACAAAGGTCATAGAATAAAATATGAATAAAATATATTTTTTCAAAAATCTTTTTTCTCCATTTGTTTCTTATGCTCCAACCAATGTAATGACATAAAAAAAAAAATAAAAAAAACATTCACAAAACTTTTTTTTTTCTGGTTCTCAGGAGGTTATAGTATGTTATATGCCAGGGGTGCCCAAACTCGGTCCTGGAGGGCCGGTGTCCTGCAGAGTTTAGATCCAACTTGCCTCAACACACCTGCCTTAGTTTCTAGTATGCCTATTAAGAGCTTTATTAGCTGGTTCAGGTGTGTTCACACATACAGTATATATTTTGAAAATATTTACATGTGTATATATTTATATTCACATAATTTATATGATATATAAATATATTTAATATATAAACATAATATATTTTTCTTACATATATACATGCATGTGTGTGTATTTATATATACATAATAAATATACACAGTACACACACATATATTATGTAAACAAAAACGTTTATTTTGGATTAATCGCGATTAATCGTTGCCCAGCACTTATAAACAATGACAACTACCATTCTGTTATGGAACTAACTCCCAGAACTCATCTACGTTTGGTTAGACAGTGGTTTGTGAATAGAACTGCACTGGGCTGCGTTTCTCAAAAAGCATTGTAAACTGAGTTGATCGTAGAGACCATAGGTGGCAATGGGTCTACGATCTACTTGCAATGCTTTTGGGAAATGCAGCCCTAGATGGTAAGTTGTCTGCCAAGTCAGGTTTAAAGGGGAAGTTCATCCAAAAAATTTTGAATTCTGTCAACGTTTACTCATCCTCATGTTACTACAAATGTGTGTGCCCGCATTCTCCAAGGATTTCAAAGGGGCAGTCGTGGCCTAATGGTTAGAGAGTTGGACTTGTAACCCAAAGGTCATGGGTTTGTGTCTCGTACCGGCAGGGATTGTAGGTGGGGGGGGTGAATGTACAGCACTCTCCAAAAAATTTTGAATTCTGTCAACGTTTACTCATCCTCATGTTACTACAAATGTGTGTGCCCGCATTCTCCAAGGATTTCAAAGGGGCAGTCGTGGCCTAATGGTTAGAGAGTTGGACTTGTAACCCAAAGGTCATGGGTTTGTGTCTCGTACCGGCAGGGATTGTAGGTGGGGGGAGTGAATGTACAGCACTCTCCTTCACCTTCAATACCATGAAGACTGGAATACTGTCATTCTAACATTCTTTACATTTTCTTGTGGTGGAGCAAGAAATACACAGATCAGTGCTTGAGCATCCCAGATTACACAATGTCCAAAAATACCCTAATTTATCTATTTTTCCATCCACTTATTTTTATGTGAATTTTTCGAATAGCGCATTAAAAATGCTGGATGGAAATGCCAAAATGCACATAAAATCTTAAAATATGAATAAAAAATATATGCGCTCAGTTGAGGTGGATAGGTTTGTTTGTTTTTTCGATAAGAAAATGTGCATACACTGCGATAACACATGTACCAAATAAATTCTTTGATGCACAACAAAAAACATGTGACTTTGCCTCAAGAGGTCATGTGATTGGATAATTGGACTAACCATGTACCAATTTAATTGCACATGGTCTCAAATGTTGTTTTAATAATCCTGAAATGCCTGAGCCAAAGTCCGTCATCAAAATGATTTGGTATAATTACCTTCCAGAACTTAGCTATTGATAATTTCATAAAACATGACCATGGGACTATTTGGTAAAAGTCATGTAATATCAGCTAAAAAAAATAGTTCTGAGAAAATTTATAATGAAATAAAACTCACTTGTTTTTAAGTGTGTCTTAAGTGCTTTATGAGCCTAAGGTAAGAGTAGAGTCCTGACCTTTAAGCGATTTTGAACATTTTGGTCGATTTTGTAGGTTAATGGTTTATACAAGCAATTACGCGCTTTGAACTCTGCTGATTTATGTTGCAACATCTTGTCTGTCTGTACGTGAAGGTAGTAAAAATTCCACCGGGATTTCGATCATTCATTGCAAACACTGACCTTCTTCATGTCCTGACGGTAATACACACTTATCTTGAGTTCAAGAGTGGAGAAATGTCTTGTGCAAATGAAAAGAGTTTCCTTCCTCTTAAGGGTTCTCTTTTCTTCTGCATTGTTATTGTGCCACTGCATTTTTAAACCGCATTGAATTGCTGTATGGCCTTGCATGCATTGGGGTCAAAAGCAGGTGAAACGTGATGCTGGTGTTGAAATTGGCATATAATTGGAAAGGTGTGGAGTTCAGCCCTAAATAGATTGGCCTCGGGGCAGAACAATGATTGAAGTAATTACTTTTTTAACATTATTGTAGACCTATAATTGAACAAAGTTCTTTACTTTTAAAGGGTGTTTTCCCCCCCCAGAGGAACCCTCATTTTAACCAAACAATCACTGTAGTTGAGTAGATTTGAATGGAAGTAAAATAAAGATAATTAATAGTATTAGTACTATATTATTATTATTATTTTATTAAATTAAAATGATCAGGGCATGATTTTCTCTAAATGAGCACAAAGAAGTACATTTCATCATTTTCATATATCTGCTCGAATATAAAAATGCCACAGAAAGACCTGTGAACATTTTGTGATGATTTTGTTTGAAGCAGATCAAATTAAATGAATCAAGTACCAGCTGTGATGCTGTTTTTGCTCCTAAAGGTTAAACCAGACGTTATTAAATATGCGTCTTAATGCGTATAATTATATACTTGTTTATTGTAGCACTGCATACTGTTACATACAGTCTAGGCCTTGCTGTTCGGTCATTAAGTCTGATATTTATTGGGCCATTTGAAAGGACCTTGAATTCAAGGTGACCAGCCTGGACTTACTTCAGTTTGACTCTCTGTGTGTGTATGTATGTATGTATGTATGTATGTATGTGTGTGTGTGATGACCCCTTTAAGGCTTTTTTTGTTCGCATTGAATCATAATAGTGCATAAATTGTGCTTTTGTCCCCCTGTGGTGTCAAATGTCATATTCTAGAAACAGCCTTTCAAGTTTCACATCTCACTGTAGTTCTTAGTATTTACCAAGACAAACCATTTGTCCTGCTGAGATGGAATAGTGTGACTGTAAATGCTGTCCGCATACTTTTTGTAGGTCCCTAGTAGCTGTATGAATTGTGCCTCAGTATGCTATTTAACTGAGAATCGAACCATTATTGAGCTAAAATTGCAGACAGAATTGGTTCAGCTGTCAATCCTTAAACATACTGCCTCAGACCTCAGAGAGAGAGAGAGAGAGAGCTGCATTTCCTTTACAATCTGGAAGGATGTTGCCTAAAGAGGCTCTTTCTTCATCTAACATAACAGCAATCGGGAGCTTCTCTAATGAAGTCACCATCTGACATTTGAGTGAAATCTAGTATGGGACATTCCAGCTTCCCTTTCTTGAGAAAGATTTTTCAGCTGGTATCATGACTAAGAATAAGCTGATGGTTTCAGATTACTGGCCTTCAAAAAAAGCAGTTCTTTGTGATCGGCAGAGCCAGACATTGTGATTACATTTTGAACAAAAAGCAACTTTGTATGTTGTTATTTTATGCTGATGTATTTTAGCTTTATCTTTGCCCTTCTGCTACAAATATCGAGTTAGTTTTTTCTCATTTTGTGACTACTGCTGTTTAGAATAGAACTGCTTAATGCCTGTACTAATACACACACACACACACGCACACACTATATACTCTAAAAAGAACATTATTTAAAACTATTTAACAAACATTTCCAACTATAGCTGCACTGTTATGGTCACACTATATTGTGAATATGTTAAGTCATTTGATTATTCAGGGTTTAAAAAAAATAATAATCAAAAGGAAAAAAAGTCCAGAATTTTTTGTAGGATATTATCTTAAAAGTTAATGGAAAAAGTCCTGAGAATATGCTCATACCTAAAATATTTTATCAGTTAGAAACTATGTTTTGTGTGTGCTCTGAAATGATTTAAAATGATTTTTTTTTTCCATTTTGTGAGAAACCTGGGTATTTCATGCTTGCAAAAAAAAAAATTATGGAGAGTTAATGTCACGCTGCGAAATTAATATGAGTATAGTAGTGTAACCATATTCCATTCCATATATATTTGTATGATAATATGTATTAGTGGTATTTGTCAATAACATTTTTTGTAACATTTAAAAATGGCTATGATTGACTAAACCAGATAATACATTTTGTGTTTCTTAGTAGTACATTTATTTAATTAGAAAAAAACAATATAAGTTGAATTTAACAGTAAACTGGAGAATGGATGAAAACTCGAAAATGTGCATCAGATGTTCACCCTTCATTTGTTTTTTCAGGTGGATAAGTTCCTGTATCACATGCGACTGTCAGATGAGAACCTGATGGATGTCTCCAAGCGGTTCAGGAGGGAGATGGATAAAGGACTAGGCAGAGACACTAACCCAACCGCAGCCGTCAAGATGCTCCCCACCTTTGTCCGTTCCACACCTGATGGCACAGGTGATGATGAGAATGAGATTTTGACACATGCTATTTTGATAATGCTTTCGTCATCCGTATAAGACATTTGGGCTTTCCTTTAACAGTCCCAAAAGGTATCTGGACACTTCAGCCACACTTAGAAATGTACAATGGATTCAGGTAAAATAGGCCACTTTTAGCCCAATTTTCAAAAAGTGGCCCTATTGAGCTGAATTCATTGAATTTCAGAGCATTTGAAATGAAAAGAATCTCAAGCCACACCTGTAAACAAATAATGCTAGAGCTTTCCTCTGAACTAACTTCACTTTTCCTTTGACATCCAACCAACTGTTCTCAAGTTCTCACAGGTGTGCACTAGTGTACACTACCATTCAAACCTTGGGTGTTGTTGTTTTTTTTTTTGTGTGTGTGTTTTTGAAAGAAGTTTTGCTTAGAAATGTTATGCCTGATATTGTGATTTCTATTGTAATGTAAGAGTTGCTTAAATATCCAATTACTTGAGGCGTTTGTATGTGAACAAAATGTATTCAAAATACTTTAAGTTCTTACTGAAAGGATGAAATGCTCCAAGGCACTCGTATAAAGGTAAAAAGCCTTTAATTAACCAGGCTAAATCATTAAAAAAGTTAAAAGTGTAGATCTATGCGTTTCGTGTAGCCAAAATGCATAGATCTACACTTTTATCTTTTTTTTAATGATTTAACCTGGTTAATTAAAGGCTTTTTACCTTTATTTGAGTGCCTTGGAGTATTTCATCCTTGCAGTTTGATAATTTACCTCTAATCATCCAGAGCACCGGTGGTTACGTGAATAGACCAGTGCAGCATTCTCAGCTTTTGTTACTTTAAGTTCCTAATATTACTGAGAAAAACAATAAGCGAACAGAGAATGTGTGTAATATTGTGAATGGCAAAGTGTTCATATCCTGCAGGAATCTGGTTCCGTGCAGGTCAAGTCATGGGTGGAGGTGTATTGTTGTCAGCATCTTATGAAACCCATATTGTTCTGTCCTAGAAGTGTCCCTGTTGTTGCGAGATGAAGAAATTATTGATCCAGCTCTCCAGTTGTGGTATTATCACCGGTCACTGTTGATGTGTGTGTGTGTTTGTCACAGTGACCGACATCAACCCGATTCTGTCACTGGCGTCTGAGGGTGTTTTACTGTGCATGCGGGATGAGACAATGTCTCAAGCAGGGTGTGAAAAGAATAACTGTACTCGGGTTCCTGGAAAGAATGCCTGCTCACAGAAATGTAGTCATGTGAGTGTGAGCCACAAAACGGGAAGTGTTGCCAAGGGAACGATGCTGATCTGTGAGACCAAGGTGGATACGTGTTCAAATGGATGTTTTCCATCGCCGCTTACTCCAGGACTTTATTCTCATGTTGTGAACATTGAGATGTTCCTGTTTGCTTAACTTTTGCTGAGATTATTGTGGCTGTAGATTTACGCAACTTTTTTCTCACAAAAGATTTCGTTTACAGTGTTTTGGTTTTTATTGTGTCGTTTTTAAGTGAGATCTCAGGGTTGTGCGCATGAAGCCTGATGTTATACTGACATTGCACAGTATTACAAGGGAGAAGGTCTCATCAGTGCTTACAGACATCTGCCCTCACCTTGTTAGTTCAACAAACTCTTTCTAAAAGACCTTTAAAAATGGAAAGTCAGGTGTGTCAGGCATAGAAAAGCATGCAAGGACTAGTTCTAAGGAGGTCATATCATGAGAAAGCAAAATTCCCTTGATCTTTGGAAATTCACTATGAGGTTACAGAAATCTGAACTTCCTCCCTAGTCTGAAAAGACTTTTTATTGAAATTAAGTTGCAAATACTCATTTTGAAACAGATTATTAGTACATGAACACAGAGACCAGATATGAACAGTGTTCAGAAACATGGCCCTTCCAGTCACAGGGAGGTAACTGCATTTAAGTTCCTCATTAAATGTTGTAACATTAGGATAATGAAGTCATAAAGTGTTGAGAAACAAGTCATAACACAATGTACGAGCATTGTCTTTCCCCTTGGATTATGGTGTGCTTGTTTTGACAATGGACTAGGGCTGCACGATATTGGAAAAAAAAGTGACATTGGGATATTTTGTTTCTCTCCAATATACTGTATATTGCAATATGAAAAAAATACAGGCATTTTCACCAGATGACTTGGAAAGAATTAATAATTTTAGAAGTAGTGGGTTGAATTTTGTTGGGAAGTGCCTCTGCATAGAAAATTAAATTAATAAAAAAAAAAAAATTGCACTGCCAAAAATTTCACTAGCCCTGCCATAATAAAAGAATATATATTTTTTTAACCCATTTCAATACCATAGCAAAAACTACCACCTTAACTAATATATACGTCAGACATTATTGAAGACAAGTGAATAGTCAGTAATAAAATAAGAATAAAAACAAACAACAGCACTAATAAATAAAATACAACAAAGACACAAATGAAATGAAACGGTGGTTTAAGTTTTTCAGGTAGGTCTAACAATAGCATTCAGGTACAAAAATGAATCAAATGTAAAATAACACTGCATAAATTTAATATAGATTAATCCTTGTTAAAGCTACAAAAAGTATTCGGTCAACAGCAGTGAGAGATTTTCTCTGTCTTTTGATGTTTGATTAACATTAATGAAATTGACACAGACAGCAGCAGGAACAGTGTAGGCTGCTGTCACTTTAAGAACTAATGCACAGATACATACATCTGACATAACTAGGGTTGGGTATCGTTTGAATTTGATCAATTTCGATTCCGATTCTTTTCGATTTCCAGTTTCGATTCCAATGTGATTAAATAATGATATCAAACATTTATCCTGTGTCTCTTTTTTGCAAACCATATATTGGAGCTGAATAGCATAAACAAAAATCAACAGGCTACATAAAATGTGAAGCGGTTTCATTCATGACAGATGACAGCTGCTCTCTTTAGGTCAATGGCAGTGCGAACGCAAATTTAAATGCTCAAATTACACTGGTATGATCGTACGCTGCACTGACGAACCAAGTGATCACAACATTGATCGTACACGTCAAAGGTGGAGGAATGAAACAGACGAATCATTGTAATTTAGGAACAGAATCACGTTGGTGTTTGAATCGTGTTCACGATCTTTAACGATCTATTAAATTAAAGTGCTTTGTCATGTTGTTGGTGACACCTCTCTTGCAACATGTTTAGCTATCACAGATATTATACTTAGCTTTTTTGGCTTCTGATCGCAAATGTAGCCAAAAAATACAACAAAGACACAAATGAAATGAAACGGTGGTTTAAGTTTTTCAGGTAGGTCTAACAATAGCATTCAGGTACAAAAATGAATCAAATGTAAAATAACACTGCATAAATTTAATATAGATTAATCCTTGTTAAAGCTACAAAAAGTATTCGGTCAACAGCAGTGAGAGATTTTCTCTGTCTTTTGATGTTTGATTAACATTAATGAAATTGACACAGACAGCAGCAGGAACAGTGTAGGCTGCTGTCACTTTAAGAACTAATGCACAGATACATACATCTGACATAACTAGGGTTGGGTATCGTTTGAATTTGATCAATTTCGATTCCGATTCTTTTCGATTTCCAGTTTCGATTCCAATGTGATTAAATAATGATATCAAACATTTATCCTGTGTCTCTTTTTTGCAAACCATATATTGGAGCTGAATAGCATAAACAAAAATCAACAGGCTACATAAAAACTGGACTCTTTTTAAGAGCTGTTTGTGTGCAAAATAGAACTGCATGTTTCTGGATAAATTAAATTTTTTTTTTTTTTTCCCCCAATGGAAGTTGTGGTTCTCTTATGATTCTGAAGAAAAAACAGATCACTAGGTCCGGTCCTCACGGATGAAGAAAAAAAAAAAGCTCATAGGAATAGATAGGCGGAATCGAAATTTTAATTTAACAACAAGTATCCGATTCCTGACCTTAAGCATCTGATTCTGGAATCGGAATCGATTTTCGATTCCCAACCCTACTGTTCACTTTCGATTTCGCGATCATGTGCACTCCGTGTAAAGGAAGATCAGATATTTGTCAATGAGCTCAGAATCTGTTGAGCAGCAAAGCATGGTCTGTTAGCCATCTCTCCTCTCAACCCGTGATCAGTGAAATCTGACTCCTGCAGCTCGTGTTGGATGTAGGATTGTCAAGTCCACGTTTTTTTTCCCGATGGAATTGGGTTACTTTTAAAGGTTTGAAATGTTGCATAAATTAATTTTGCATTATAAAACTGTGCTGTTAAGTTTTGTAAAGGAGGGCCACTGGCAGGAAGATTTTTAGCTGTGTTTATGATCAATATGCATAACAGTTACTGTGAAATATGTATTTTAGGTATGGAAATGACATATTTTGAGTTTTAATATTTGGGATATGGCCATTGCACTACTTTGGGCACTACTTTAACCACCAACCAACCACACCACAGCCCCCCGTCCCGCCCCACACGTACCCACTGTCCTCTTTTTGGAAAACTAAAATATGGTCACCCTAATTAAATGATACTGTTACCAATACCTGGTGATTCGATCAAATAGTTGTAGATGCCAGGGTATTTCACGTTGGGCCATTCAGTTGGATCATTTCTCCAACAAAAGGAAGATAAGGAAAAGGGGCACTGACATAGACCAATAAAATTTAGTTTCTCAATATATCTCCTCCTCTCAGGTTCACATAGGTGGTGAAATAATCTTTTGACATGGATAAAAATAATTAATGTTATCTGTCACCGATTACGTTCCCCTCCTGTGGGCATAGTTCTCAGAGTAATATGACATGTTGCACTCCACTCTTGTGTCCTTATACGCTCGTTTTTTGGGGGGTCGACAGCTTATAAAAATGTAGTTCTGGGTTTTTAGCTTGTTTGCTGTACACTTTGTCACACAGCAGCTTTTAGGCATTGTTCTGTTTTCGATCTTTAACGATCTATTAAATTAAAGTGCTTTGTCATGTTGTTGGTGACACCTCTCTTGCAACATGTTTAGCTATCACAGATATTATACTTAGCTTTTTTGTTTTCTGATCGCAAATGTAGCCAAACTTTGGAGCGTTTAGATTAGCGAGCAAGGTCCTGGCAGATCACTAGGTCCGGTCCTCACGGATGAAGAAAAAAAAAAAGCTCATAGGAATAGATAGGCGGAATCGAAATTTTAATTTAACAACAAGTATCCGATTCCTGACTTTAAGATTTTCGATTCCCAACCCTAGACATACCCGCCAAGTAGGGCTGGAAAATAATTCAATATCAATATGTATCGCGATATAATTTTTTTCAATAACGGTGATATGATTCGTCCAGCCCTACCGCCAAGACAGTATTTTGACATTATTTTTGTGGGTTTGTTTTCAATTCGCGGTTCGCGCGGACCATCAGTCAGCGATTCGACTCTCTGGTGCGTGCTTTGAGTGTGTTTGTTGGAAAATATTAATGTTGTAAAATTGAGGTTATTGTCAGAACTTTACAACTTTGTTCTTGTGATGCTGTCTTTATTTTCAAAAGCTGTTCTTTTAATATAAATTTACATTTGATTTGTTTGTAGAAACGGGCGACTTCCTTGCTCTGGACTTGGGAGGAACAAATTTTCGAGTTCTGCTTGTCAGAGTGTCTAGTAATGGAAAACAAAAGGTGGAGATGGAAAACCAGATCTACGCCATTCCAGAGAACATCATGAGGGGCAGTGGGACAGAGGTGAGGAGTGAGTGAGTGTGTGTGTGTGTGCGCGCGCAAACCTGTTTGTGTGTTTTTGTGCCTTTCTTGCTGTAGATCTCATTCATTAAACATGGTATGCGCATATATATATATGTATATATACTGTATATGCGCATACCATATGTAAAAACCAGCAGAAAGCTTAGGTGTTTTATATTTAAAGGGATAGTTCACCCAAAAATGAAAATTCTGTCTTCATATACTCACCCTGGGGTTGTTCCAAACCTGTATGGCTGACTTTGCTTTGTGGAACATAGAAGATATTGAGAAGTATTTTTTTTTTGTTGTCTTTTTTAGTTATGCATTATAAATAACTTTGTCTTGTAGCCTGGATTCATCATTGTCAAGTTTAAAGCGCAATCAAGTATTTAATAGTAGATACATGTACAATGTGTGCTTTCTTAATTGCAAATTGCAATGTTGACTGTATGAACATTCTCCAGTTGTTTAATCTGAGAGTGAAGATATAGAAATTTAATTTATTGAAGGGGTCATATGATGCTGCTAAAAAGAACATTGTTTTGTGTATTTGGTGTAATGAAATGTGTTTATGCGGTTTAAGGTTCAAAAAACACATTATTTTCCACATACTGTACATTATTATTTCTCCTCTTCATATTTCATTTTCATTACAGTATAAGATATATTGAATGCTTTTGCTCTCACTTGCAGCGCAGAACACCATCTGTCTGCATAAAATTACCAACTTAGACAAAGCCCAAATGAATGAACACATTGTGCGTCATGTTGCCATTTTAATGCACATTATTTTTTCTACACTTGTTCACTGTTTAAAACAGCTTTAACACTTGAGCACATTCCATATGGTTAAATCCTAGATGTATAAAACAGATGTGTTTATTTCGTTTTATATCTTCATATTCAAGTCTGTTTCATTTCTATCATGAGACATAAATATGCTAAAGTTACGCAAAGAATATCTTATTTCCCTGATAAATGGCGGTCATTTATCTATTATTCATTTAGCAAACAATATAAACCAATTTGAGATGCTACAATAAACTCTTAAATAAATATAAGTAATAACTAAATAAACGGACTGTCGTGCATAAAAGTGTGTCTTGGGTGGCTGGGAACTGAAACATGCCTGGTTTAAAACCAAACCAATGTTTTCTCACATACTTCATCCGTACTCTCTGTGCTAGTCTGGCAGTGAACATGTCCTTTAGCCTCCGCAATGAAGACTGTCTGGACTTCAATCATTGCAATTCGACCACAAGACTCTTTATAAGTGTGCATGACCTGGAGGTGGAAGGTACAGTTGGAACCCAGCTGGCAGAAGATGATGAGTTGCACCTGGTTCCTCACAGCCTATGGCATTATGGCTTTATAATTTCAACGTGTAATGCCTAATGAGAGGAGAATGCATCTCATGTTGATTGACAGTCCCCTTTGGATTTTCACATGGACTCTTTTCACATTCAAGAGCTTCTCTAATGCTTGTTTCCATTTTAGTTTAACCTGAAGAGCTGTAAAACAGTCATACCTGATGTAATCTGTGCTTAGGATTCTGTAGCCTCTGAAATGTTTCATACTTGTGAGATGAAAATAACACCTTTGACCAACTTGCACATGATATTTTTGGTTCTTCTGATCTACCTAAGTAGACCATATACTTTTTGGCATGAGACACTTTTGAATGTAATGAATCCTTAATCTAAGTTAAGAAATGTATTTAAATCAGTCTTAAAATTAATCATGTCATTTTTTTTTTTTGTTCTTTTCTTTTCCAGCTCTTCGATCACATAGCTGAATGCTTGGCCAATTTCCTTGAAAAATTGGGCATCAAAGACAAGAAGCTGCCTCTTGGCTTTACCTTTTCATTTCCTTGCCAGCAGACCAAACTAGATGAGGTGAGATGAGAAGGATTAAAGGGAAACAAACACTAAACTTAGCAGCTCTTCTGTCAGAATGTCATGTTTCCATGGTTGCCCTTATTTCTCTACAGAGTTTTCTGGTGTCTTGGACCAAAGGTTTTAAGGCGAGTGGAGTGGAGGGGAGAGATGTTGTGGGCCTGTTGAGAAAAGCCATCAAGAAGAGAGGGGTGAGTGTAATGAGTCAGTGTGTTATGCTTTTATATTCACAAGCTACTGGTTTTAGTCTTTCTAGTATAGTGAAATGACTAAGGCAAAAGCTTCTTTATATATGTATGTATATATTAAAGGGGTTATATGATGTTGCTAAAAAGAACAGTATTTGGTGTATTTGGTGTAATGAAATGTGTTTATGCGGTTTAAAGTAAAAAAAACACATTATTTTCCACATACTGTACATTATTGTTTCTCCTCTATGCCCCGCCTTTTTGAAACGCGTCGATTTTTACAAAGCTCATCGGTCTGAAAAGCGAGGTGTGCTCTGATTGGCCAGCTATCTAATGCGTTGTGATTGGCCGATTGGCGGGGTTGCCCAGCGGATCCGACGAATGAGCGGCAACCACATGTGACGGACCCCGGGCTGGATTCCGCTTCGTCCACGGTGAAAGTTGATGTATTCCTTCAGCGACCAGCACAGATCAGCTCTAGGCATGACGAAGCGGATATCGTCCTCTTTTGGAAGACCAAACAAAGTAGTTTCGCTTTCACAACGAAGCACACAGCGTCTTCACGACATGGCTGCAGCGTCAACAATACTACAGTGAGACTAAAAGTTACGCCTTCTTTCTTTGCGTGAACATTTGGGCGGCGTTATGCAAATCTTCCCACATAGTGAGGTAGATATGTGGGGGCGTGTTAGAACGAGCCGTTTTAGGTAGGCGTGGCTGACTCTTAACTTTTATAAAGAATATCTCTTTGGATTTGAGACTTTAGTCTTTGCAACTTTACAGATCTTCTTTATGCACCAAGAGCTTGTAACACTCCAAAGAGAAAGGAAAAATTGAAATCGCATCATATGACCCCTTTAAACTTGAATCCACTGATAGATGCAAATACTCAGTGGTAGTATTTACACTACTGTTCAAAAGTTTGGTGTCAGTGAGATTAGTTTTTTTTTTCTGAAACCAAGTATTGCTTGTTTTAATACCAGGTGTAAGCAGGGCCAATAATGGAGTGAGCATGTACAAACTTTCCAGAAGAAAATAATTATTAGATTATTCAGAATTGAAGCATGTGAATTTCCTTTTTGGAATAAAGGCTAGAAAATGTACATTAATCAGTGATGTCTGGTGTGAATTCACCACTTGGTCCTCACGTAAAGTTAATAAATGCATGGGAATTCTTACGTGTGAATCATGGAGGGTGTTGTCGTTTTGTGAGTTTCTTAAGATATTTCTGAGAACAAGGACTTGATGTTGTGTGTCACAGTGGAAAAAGTTGTCTGTTAGCAATTCCATTCATCTCAATGCCACTTACTTGGCAGATGCAGGAAGCAAACTATTTGAATTCTGCTCTTTGACTGCATAAAGACTTTTTTGAGCCAACATTCATGTGATTAATTATGCTATAGCCACAGGAAAATGATTTCATGACAAAAACTGATGGTAATGGTACCAACAAGAACATGCAAAATTTGAATGAATTCAATAGAGAAATAATTAAATTGAATTAATACAAACAATAATGTTATTTTTATAAATAAATAATACAAATCAAATTAATAATTATTAAAATATATAATAAATATTATTTTTTTTATTACCTCCATAAGGTGAACTTTACAGAATCTACCATTAGGGGTAAACAGGGCCATGCTAACCAGCCAACATTCAAGTCCATTTTGTTTTTAGCATCACCCTTTAACCCATTAAAATCGCTGCAACATAGTTTCACATGCCTCTAGGGCTGCCCCCAACTAAAGATTTTTCTAGTTGACTAGTAGTCAACTAATCGCACGTTTATATTAATTTAATTACATAAATATATACTGACAGTGGGGAACTAAACTATAATGAGCCTTTAATATACAGCCTATTCCGTGCTCAAGCACACACATAAAGCTTGCCAAAAGTAATGACTGTGTTGGGAAATACAGCAAGGAGATATTTTAATCATGTATTAATAAATGAGTGTTTTCTGGTGTCAGTGTCGGCTGCAAAGATGAAGCTGACGATGCTGACTCATCATCTCCGCAGTACAGTGGATGTACCTTTAGAGAAAAATCGACCTTTCATACGGATTACATAATGAGAGAGTATTTGTTTTCGATTTGAATTTGTTCTTTTAAAAAGTAGACGTTTCAAGCTTTCTATATATATTTCTCATGTCTGTCAGGCATAGAGTATTATGTTGAGTTTTGGTAAATTTTTTTGACACGTGTCAGTTCACAGAGACCGAGACGTCAGAAAGTGCGTCCTTTTTTCTTCTTCTTATTTTTACAAAAGCACAACGTCTTGTTGTAACATTTAGTCGACTATTAGGGGCACAGCCCTACATGCCTCATTAGTTTATTTGACCTTTCGTAAGTGTTTCAGCTTGGTTCAAAATAGCAAACAAGTACCAGCATTCTCTTTTTTTATCTCTACAGGACTTTGACATTGACATTGTGGCTGTGATCAATGACACCGTTGGCACCATGATGACCTGCGGTTATGACGACCATCACTGTGAGATCGGCCTCATTGTTGGTGAGTCACTGTCTTACATTTGCACTCATATGCTAGCTGAGATCAGTGGGGAATATCAGCCAGGGTGGCAGTGATATTGTCAGACGTGCTTGCTGTGAATGAAAGGTGCTTTATTCAAACATAGACCTTTTGTTCAGTCATTTGTTTTGGTTAATGGTTGTGGGAATATTAGAGCACACATTTCAGGCTTTTTATTGCCGCTTCAGGCCTATTATTATGGCCTAACAAAATGATTTTGGCGGCGTCTTCACAATGCTAATTCTCACACTCCTCTAAATGAACTAATTGTTTTGATTCATGCTCCCCAATAGTGTGTCAAATACGTGTAATTATAGAGGCTAGAGCAGATGTCCCTGAGTCTTTCACACAACTTGATTTGCCGTGCACAGTCTCAGTTATTACACTCTCTAATTTGTACATGATTTTAACACTTTCTCACATTAGATGACAAATACAGAAGGCAAAATTTATAGTTGTACGTGGAAATACAGCCAAAGTTCTTTTAGAGCAAACACAGCTGGTGTGAAGCTTCTTTTTTTTGTTGATAGAAATTAATTATAATACCTTCTATTTCAAATAAATTCTGTTATTTTGAACTTTCTGTTCATTAAATAATCAAACGGTGTCATGATTCTCACAATAAATAGATAAATTAATTAATTCATGAATTAATAAAGTAGGCTGCAACTGTTTTCAACATTGATAATAAGAAGAATTGTTTCACCAGATCAGCTGAAATTCAGCTTTGCAATCATAGAAATAAATTACATTTAAAATGTATTAAAAATAGAAAACAGTAAAAATATTTCAAATACTGCACATTTTCTTTTATAAGAAAAGAAAAAAATATTCAAATATAGGGGTGTAACGATAAGCATATTTTCAGTACGAGTCTTTCAGTTTGGTTCGCATGTGTACCGAACAAATACATCATTGTTTTAACCACTGCACGAGCGGAACTTTGTTGGAAACATCCAGTTTTATATATTGTTACTTTTGATAAGAAACAAAGTCTCATCTCTCGCGCTCTTTGATGTGGTGCGACAGATCGCTGTATAAACGCCTCAGTTCAAATGGCAGCGCGATCATCTCTTCCTCTTTACTACTAGTTTTAACACGAAATAAACATGAATGAACATCTTTTGTAATTGTTCAATCAGTCTTTCCATCGTGGAAAGACATCAATAAAACAGCTCGTAAACAAAATGTCACGTAGCATTTCATTTAAAGCTCGTTAGTTCGCTATAAATGAAGTCTAGAGAAGAGCATTTTGTGAAATATTAGACTATATACTCATTATATTTTACTTTGCCTGTTAGTGATGACTTAATTATTTAATGTTTAAATAAATCTGTTATGAAACAAGTTATGACAGCCACTGCATATATTTCAACAACATATAGAAATGTTATAATTTAGAAGTTAATTTAAAAATTAACTTTTGCATTGTGCAGTTTACATGTTTGCATACAATTTTTTTTTCAAAGTTGAGTACACTGTAAAAAATAAACTGTTGAGAATACTTAAAAAAAGTAAGGCAACTTGATGCAGTAAGATTTTGAGTTGTCTCAATTATTTTATAGTTCTTCTAAGTAACAGTACTGCGTTCAGCCAACCTAAATTTCTTTGTTCCTGCAATGATGATTGTCTTATTTTGCCAATAAAGTTATTGTTGTCACAGCAACTGAAACAACAAGTACTGTTGTTGAGTAAATTTATTATTTTCTGTTTCCTGGATGAAAAAAAAGAATGTGTAAATAGTCACCACATTACCATTTTTATGTCTATTTACGCATGACAAATTAGGATTTGTTTCTTTATCAGTTTATGTCATTAAAATGATAATGATGGTATCAAGAACATAATGAAATGTTATAAACCACAATGGACAACATTGTCTTTGTTTATAAAGCATCCTACAAGACAAAGATATCCAGAATATAGATTTAAGTGGTTGATCATATTCTAGGCCTCAATAATTGACACACAAACCTCAAGAACGGTGGCAATCAACAAATGTAAAAAAAAAAGATGAGCTCTTTAAATCACTGCACAACAAACAACTAACAATAATGACAAAACAACAACGAAAAAGTTTAAATGAAACCAGAAAACAGCAAAACAATAACCCTATAACAGTATCTGCATAATTTATTCATGCTGCAATGCATGCTGGGAACTCACAAAGCCTTAACTTTTCAGCAATATAAAATTCGTTGTTCAGACAAGTCTGTTTGACTAGTTGGGACAACATTTGGGGTCTGACAAAGGTTTTTATGTTCAATTCTGTTGGTCTAACAAGGATTTTTATGTAGTTTCAAGAAAACAGCATTTTTTTGTATTTGAGACTCAAAAGGTTTCGTAAGCTGGAAAATATGCAGTTGCATTTTTTTTTTTTTTTACAGTGTATTGATTATTATATTTAAAAATAAATTAAAAGTAATTAAATTTGAGGTTGGTTCTTTGTTAATTGTAACCTTATAGTAATGTAAAAGGAATAAAAATCTACCTCAGCTTCTGCTTTAAACTATAGGGAGCCCTAAGAAAATTTTAAATTATAATTGAATTATTTAAAGCGCAATTTGTTCAGTAATCCACTGTTTAATAAAAAATGCAATTTTATGTTTAGTTTTTCCCCGTGCTGTACCAAAACCATAACGAACCGTGATGTATAAACCGAGGAACGTACCGAACCGTTATGTTTGTGTACCGTTAACACCCCTATTAAAATGTTTTAAATAACAGTTTTAATGCCAAATTTAAGTGTATAATGTGTAAGTGAAATGTTTATTAAATTTATATTTAATAAATAATAGGAACTTAACATAACAAGAAGTCTGTACTTAATCATGATTACTATCATGCAAATGGAGAAAATCCTATATAGCTGGAGGTAGCTGGTTTGTTTTGAATCATAAGTTTTGAGAGACTACAGTAGGCTTTAGTAGCTGGGTTAATAAAACAAGCTTACCCAAAGCTTACCCTGTCATTTCCCACTGAGACAGACCACTGTTGAGTGTACAATTGAAATATAATTCAACATCGTGAAGATATAATGAAGTCAATCCCCCTGCCTGCACCTTTGAACACTATTTAAGATTTGCATGAATCTGTTGAGTATGTGCTTTTCATAGTGCTTAGAAAACCAACAGGCTGTAGTTTTAAAGAGGAATTGCATTGTAGAATATTTGCATTTGCATTCAATCATTGCATTCAAACTGCATTGTAGAGAAAGCAATAAAAATATACCTCCCTGACATTACATGGCTTTAAGACAGGAGTCGTCTACATCGTCAACCAGTATTATATTCTTAAATATCATTCATGTTTTAGACAGATAAAGCAATAATGTTTCACAATCACAAGTCATGAATTGGCTGCACTGCTCAAGCCTTTGTAAGAGTAATAGAAAAAAAGGCATGTTGCATCTGCAGTCTTAGGTTCAGAACAGACCCACCCAACATCCATCATACCTTTGGCATTTTCTTGAACTTCCCAGTTTGTTATCTGCTTTAGTAGTAGTTCAAATACGCAAAGCAAAGACAACCGATAGCAGTCATTTTTATCATGGGACGTGATGATGGATTTGTACCACTTCACTTGGCTAGACATTTCAGTTACTCTGGTTTCTTCCCATTGGATAAGAGACTATCAGATGATATTTGTTTGAAGTAAAGTTCAGTGAAAATATCATATAGAAAGCACAGATTACAGATATGTTATCCTTTAAAAATACAGTTAAAGGAAATTTAACTCTAAAAAGAAAATAGTCACTATTTACTCTCCCTCATGTTGTTTCTTGCTGGCTTTAGTATCTACTTTGCCATTTCTTAACGTGATCCTAATCTTTAAAAAGCTCTCTGGCCTCAACATGCATCGTGGCTTTGTCATTGCAGGACAGATTTAGCATGTTGACAGGCTTCATACATAATCATTCATACATAATAAAATGGAACACTCCCCTTTCTTTTGTTGCTCATGTGCGTTGGCTGCTGCAGAGACTTGAGTATACTTAATTTATAATAAGTCACAAAGAGCTCCTTTACCACCAAAGATTTGACATTGCACTGTAGAGATATCAGAGCTCCTGCATGAATATTTTATATAGTAACACAAGCCTGTATATCAGATTTCTTAATGCTACATCAAAACAGAAAATGAATTTGGACAAATCTCAGGAAAGGAGGAGGTATTGATTCCCACAGTCATGGAGAATTTTACCATTTTGAATTTCCAAGCCTCTTGAGAAATGTAATGCTGTGTTGAAAAGTTCTGAAACTGTGTATACTATAGTGTGATGAGTGGGGGCGGGGCCGAGAGCCATGGGAACGGAGCGAGGCCAGTGGAGTAATTGATAGGAGCTGGTGGATGGTGATGAAGGTCGTATGTGTGTGAACATGGAGTGGGGTGCGTTCGGCGACGACGGCGCCCTGGATGACATCCGCACTGAATTCGACCGGGAGATTGACGCTGGGTCCCTGAACCCCGGCAAACAGCTGTGAGTGACAGTCCTGCACCTGACAGTTAGTGCCACTCCCGACAGTTCTTTTGTTGACACAAAAAGCCATTGAAGCCCTTTTCCCTAGAGGCCAGCTGTGTCAGCCGGTTGTTCTACTAGGCAATTACAGAAGAAGGTACAAGGTTGTCACCATGGTGACACCAAGTACACAGGCATTCTTGCGTATGTGTTCATTCCAAGAAGGCAAGTGCGAACAATTTTAGGAAGACCATATGTTCCTGCTGCGATAGCTAGAAACAGTCATGAAATAAACTCTTGCGCCATCATTAAAGGGATAGTTCACCCAAAAATTTAAATTTGATGTTTATCTGCAAGTCTGCGATCTGCCGTAAAGCAAGAAGAAGAAGAAGAAGAAGAAGACGCGTCACGCGCCGGCTGTTGAGAATGCGCTCAGGACAGTTCGGACATTGCGGTGAATCAGAGGTAAAAAACGATATAAATACTGTTCAGTTTCTTGCACAGACCGATCGTTTAGTGTCTTTACACATCAATGTATCGTCACGAGCCGCAGGGTTTAATATGGTTTTGTTTGTGTATGTTTTTTTGACTCTCAAAGCCGTGATTTCCATTCACTTCCATTATATGACTGACAGACTGCAACGGTTTGAGTTAAAAATCTTCGTTTGTGTTCTACTGAAGAAACAAAGTCACCTACATCTTGGATGCCCCGGGGGTAAGCAGATAAACATCACATTTTCATTTTTGGGTGAACTATCCCTTTAACTGTGCATTAGCCTGCTTTTCTGATCAGAACTCATGGGTCTCGAGTTTTAAAGCTGCAGTTCCTGACCCTAGTCATATTGACTCCACAGGCGCTTTCATTTTGTGGGTAAGAAGCAGCACTTTGAAAGCTTTAAAAATGCAGAAGTGTAATCAAATACTATGATGCCCTGAGTGCTTGTTGCTGAGCTTTCTAAATGCCCTCAGTGGTGGAGTATGGCAATTGATTGCCTTATTGGATTTGCACATGCACATGCACAAACCAATAATTCAGGACTGATAAAGTAGCTTTGAAACCTCTTGCTTTTCCCCCAGAGATCCTGGTTTCAAAAGATCAATGGGAATATGCTGTTTCTTTACAGTTGCAAGTCAGTGTTATTGTTCTCTCGCATACCCTGCTCCCTGAGACGATGAATGTTTAGACTGTGTCCAGATCGAGTACTGTAAACATTTTCCTTTTCCCATAAATAAGAACTCTAACAGCAATGTGAAAAGAGACAGAAGTGGTTTTCATTTTTGTTGTATAGTAAGGCACGATATGGACTCATCAGTTATTTACTGTACCTTTATCCAGTTTATTTATACCAGTATATAATGGACCAGGGTCAAGGTCCCCCCCCCCCTTCATTTTCCTTCATAACTGACAGGCTTCTGCAAATCTACCTACTTTCTTGTGCAAGTATCGTTTTATAATACCATTTAAAAGTTTGTGGTTGGTAATATCTTTTAAAAATGTTTTTGAAAGAAGTCTCTTATGCTCATCAAGGTTGCATATATTATTCTGCTATTCAAAAATTCAGTAATTTATATTTTGAAATATTAATTTAATAATTTTAAAATGTAATTTATTCCTGTGATGCAAGGCTGAATTTTCTAAGAAGAAATGTTCATTGCATGTTCTAAAGCTTTAAAATCCAATTTTTATTTCATATTTTTGTCACACTTGCTGCCAGCCTTATAGCCGAGATAAAATCTTGTTGCGAGTGACCCCAGTCTCCTCTATATTAATTACTTTCAAGGACATGTCTCCAGATAATAATCATCATTTGTGTGAACATACCACCTCCTCCTTTTTTTCACAAATATTTCCCACACCCCTGATTACAGGGATAGTCCCCTGAAGAAACCTGGGCTTAAGTATCTCACTCAAGTGAAAAATGATGATTGGGGATCTCTCCAGTTCACGGGTTGCCCCAGCGTGGGATCAATAACCTCTAGGCGACCGTTGCCCCATACGTCACACTGCATCATGACATACATGTTCATCATGTTCATCGACCTGACTCTACGTGCTGCATTTTTTGTTTTTGTGCAGGTTTGAGAAGATGATTAGTGGGATGTACATAGGGGAGCTGGTCAGACTCATTCTGGTGAAGATGGCCAAAGATGGTCTGCTGTTCCAGGGACACACCACTCCAGATCTGCTCACCACTGGCCACTTCCAGACTTCCTTTGTCTCTGCCATGGAAAATAAAAAGTCAGTACCTTTTTGTGCTTGTGTGTTTCTTGCCATACTAAAATGGCAGCAGAAGTAAGCTAAATCTGATCAAGTTAATGAATAAAATAGCTAAAACCTGTTTTTAAAGGAATAGGTCACCCACAAATTTAAATTTGATTTGGAGAAATGTATCATTCCATCACTTGGTCACCAATGCAGTGAATGGGTGCCGTCAGAATGAGAGTCCAAACAGCTGATAAAAACATCACAATAATCCACAAGTAATCCACACCACTCCAGTCCATGTTAAACATGTTTAATTAATTGCATACTTTGAGTCAACTTTGACTTTTCTGGTATACCATGGTGCTAAAGTGGCACAAATATGAAAATCCATGTTATACCCTTGTAGCATTTCAAAAACATAACCTAAAAAAATGCTTTACCTAAATGCTTTATTATTATTTTTTATTATTATTTTGTGCAATAAACACTTTGAAGTGTAAGGTTAGGGTTTAGCATTAATGTTGAACTAAGTTTTAAAAACAGAAAAAAAATTGTTAGTGACAGTTCTTTGGAAACTTCCCCAGAACTCCGTAATACTGAGTTAGTACTGTAACTTTCAGTGCCTTAAAATGGCGATCAAGCCCGCTTGAATTTCTGCCTCATTAAATGGAGACCTCATCATGATGACCGATAGCTGGAAGTCAGTGCAGACCTGTTTCACTTCATCAATTAACTACCCCATATTTAGTTCTTTCTCCAGCAAACCGAGCAGTTGAGACATACGTGGGAGAACACCTGTGGTCTCGACAGAAATGACATGCTTCTCAAAAATACTGGCATGGGCTTATCGTAATGTCAGACCCGCTGTTGGTTCACAGACTGAGCACATTTGTGCTATGAAACAGAGTTCAACTTTTCTTGTGGGTTTAACATTATGAAACTTGTTCAGATCTCAGACTTTTTGGAGTTGGAAGTCAGCACATCTGTGTGTTAATTGAAATCCCAAACTATATTTTATTTATTTTTATTTACCTTTATTTAACCAGGAAATTAAAATCTCTTGAGATTTAAAATCTCATTTACAAGAGGTCCTGGCCAAGATAGGCAGCACGTTTAGTTACACATAAAACAAAATACATTCGTTTACATACACAGAAACATACACAAATCACTCAGAACATTTACAATCAGGTGACTACAAATAGATCCTTTAAAATACATTTAAAATAATTTAGTGATACCAACTCTTTTAAGCATAACTTATCTTGTAGTTGATTCCAATCAAATGGAGCAGCATAACTAAATGCCCGTTGACCCATATTAGTACGAACTTTAGGGATGCTTAAAAGATAGTTTTGTGAGCAAAGTCCATAATTCTTTACACCTTCTTGTAAGATATTTTGCTGTAAATACGAAGGAAGTAAACCTAAAATGATTTTATATATAAATAAGTACCAATGCCTGCTGTGGATGTACTATGTTTTTCCCTAAAACCGGATTGGAACTCTGATATGGCATTTTTAGAAGATAGAAATTCTTTTAATTGATCATTCACAAGCGATTCCAAAACCTTTGATAAAATAGACAATTTCGAAATATAGGCCTATAATTATTCAATACAGTTGGATCACCCCCTTTAAATAATGGCGGAACATAAGCAGTTTTCCAGATAGAAGGAATTTCATTTGTAGCTAAAGAAAGATTAAAAAGATAGGTTAGTGGTGGCGCAATAAAATCAGCTGCCAGCTTTAAGAAATGTGGATCCAACTTATCTGGACCAGCTTGTTTCCTACTATCTAAAGATTTAAGTGCCTTATTAACCTCTGAAACTGTTACTGGATTAAAATCAAATAATTGGTCTACCTTAAAATGATTTACACTAGAGTAAACAGGTGAGGAATTATCACAGGCCAAATTATTTGACCGATGAAGTGTACCAGTGGCCACAAAATGTTCATTTAAACAATCTACTATTTTAAATTTATCCACAATTTTACATGAATCCTTAAATAATACATGACGGAAAATCTGAATTTGATTCTAATGAGATTTTAAATATTTTTCCAAAAAGTTTTCGAATTATTTAGATTATTAGAAGTTTCTAAAAGAAAGTAGTCAACCTTAGCTTTTCTAATCGCAGCAGTAGACACATTACGCAACTGTCTGAAAATCAACCAATCTTCCTTTAGATTAGTACTTCTGGCTTTAGACCAAGCCAAATTACGTTCTCAAAGTAAATTTGACAGTTTGTGGGTAAACCATACATTATGTCTGCCTTTTAACTAAACTTTCTAAAAGGAGCATGCTTATTTATAAAATAGGTAAAACTTTCATAAAAATAACTCCATGCAATTTCAACTTCTGGAATAAGATTAATTTTTCCCCAATCAAAACGATATAAGTCATGTAACAAACCTTATCAAGTGCACAGAATTTAAGCAACTAAATAAAAAAAAAAATAGTGGAGCACCACTCGTTATGTTTTCTAGCGTGCCCTTTTTCGAACAATTATCAACTGAGCATGTAGAACTTACTTGGAATTGTTCTATTAAACCTCTATAAACCTCCACTGCAGCTCGTCATAAAGAAGAAAATAAATAATACAAAAAGGAATGATGCCATTTTTTTTTTACTTATTCCTGATCTTAACCCAATATACAGTCTGTTGATGAAAAATGTCCGGTATAATCCCAGAAAACTCTCCCGAAGCAGTTTCAAATGCTGATGATATAATTGTATCTCATGAAATTTCCAGGTTTGAAGACTTTTGAAACGATACTGCAAGATGGATAAACCAAATTTTAAAAACCACCCTGAACAGTATCATCATATCTTATTTAGCGTAGAGAAAATAGCTAAACATTTATCCAGTAAGGTGCGGTACTCATCAAGGCCAAACGATCTCACATCATGGATCTGAATTAGGGAAACTCTCCAGAAGATCCAAAGCCCGTCTTTGTAATCCCTTAAGGTGCGATACTCTACAAGGTCAAAAGAGATCACATCATAGATCCAGTTGAGAAAGATCCGCTTCAGAAAGTCCAGAATCTGACAAGGTCCCTTGTTCAATTTCTAAAACCTTTAGAATTATTCTTTTATATCTAAAAGTAGAGTCTTAAAATTTATAAGCAAACGAAAACAATACAAAATTAGACAACCACATGCTCAACAAACACAACAAAAAGACATGCCGCCATCTTGGAATGTACCACATGCTTTCATTATCTACAATATTTGTTAATTGTAGATAATGAAAATATAATTAAATCAGATGCTGAAGTAATAATGTTAGCTTGCATGCACGATCTTGGCATATCACATCACTCAAAAAAACTGTGTTTTTAATTTTTGTTACCAAGGACAATATATATATGTCTATGTATATCTACTTTAGGATCCAAAATTCTGACGACAAGTGGAAATATTTTTTACTTATTACAGATAAGATCAGCATAATGATTTGATTGGAGATTTCAATGTTATTTGTTGCCCTTTTTATTTAACAAGAATAGTACACAGAAACACACATCACAAGGTTTTTCTATAAAACCTAATGACTGATTTCATTCTTGTATGATTAGATCTGAGAATATCAGACTTTTGGATCCGTTCAAAAAAGGGTCGGTAAGAATTTTTTGGATTGGTTTTTGAAAGTTTCTTATGCTCACCAAGGATGCATTTATTTGATCACTAATACAATAAAAACAGTAATATAGTGAAATATTAATGCAATTTAAAATAAATCATTTCTATCTTAATATATGTATATCTGTAATGACAAAACTGAATCTTCAGCCATTAGAAATCATTCAGAAAGAATTCTAAAATGCTGATTTGGTGACAAGGAAATTAATGTTGAAAACGGTTGTGTTGCTTAATAATTTTGTGGAAACCGTGATAAATTTTTCAGGATCCTTTGATGAACAATGTTCAAAATAACATTTATTTGAAATAGAAAATTGAGTCTTTAATGTCACATTTGATCAATTTAATGCATCCTCATTGAATAAAAGTTTTTAATTCTTTTAATAAAAATTGTATTGAACCCAAACTTTGGAATGATAATGTCCAAAAAAAAAAAAAAATGTCCAAGAAACATTCAAAATATGAAAGTGAACTATTTTGCAACAGCTAAAGACAAGTGATGTTGTACAAGTATCTGCCCTTAAGGTGATATTCATGCAAACCTCCAAATTCATCAGAAATGACTTTCTCTTCTGCAGGAATAACGAGGGTCTGGTGAGTGCAGAGCAGGTGTTGAGAGGACTCGGACTGGACCCGTCCCCCGAAGACTGCGTGGCCACGCAGCGAGTGTGTCAGATTGTGTCTACGCGTGCGGCCCACCTCTGTGCTGCCACGCTAGCGGCTGTCCTACGGCAGATTCGAGATAACAAAGCCGCAGAGAGATTGCGCACCACTGTCGGCGTGGATGGATCAGTCTACAAAAACCACCCACAGTGAGTCCAGTGTCCAGTACCAATGTGTGCTTTTTATGGCACTAAATGATTACCATATTCACATACAATGGTATTTACATAGCACTCTAATGTACTTCAAAGAATACCATGGCATGGTGTGGTACCAATGTATCGCAGCTTGAGAAGTGACACCCTGTAAACGTATATTTGGTTGTTTTTTGTGCAGCTTCAGAAGTAATTCTTGAAACAAGATTTACACTAAAAAAATCTGTTTGACAATGCTAGAAAAATGTTTGTTTACAAATTGGCCAAGAATAATTACTGTGGCATAATTTTAGATGAGGACAGGTTCATTTCATAAACTTGCTGCCGAAAGCCCATCTCACCAATAAAAGATTCTTCCTGGATGTTGTCAGAGAGTTTGGCAAGGCCATAAACGCAGCAGGGAGTTGAATTGCTAGGGCTTTTAATAACCACCTGCTGAAACGCGGTTTCATGCATCGATTCCCTCTGATTCCTCAATGACTATGGAAATTGATGACTGAAAAATGGCTGAAAAATTAGCTAGGGATCATCTAATGGGTGCTACGCAACAATATCGATAGAAGAGAGTTTTGTTCCATTTGTCTTGTTATATTGGGTCAGCACTACATCTTAGATTTTCTGATCATGTACATGTATTTATATGGCTTGCAAACTTTTCGTGCTTGTCAATGTTTTAGACTTGTCATGGACTTGGTAATTTCAGTGGGTTAAAACTGACAAAAAATTAATGTTGTGCATGTTGTCATTTTTTCTGCATAATGCATATTTATTTATATTTATATAATTGAAATAAAATATATGTATGTATGTGTATTTTATATAAATATGTGCATACACACATGCATACATATATACAACATTTGTAAATTATAAATGGTAAAATTATAATTTACATATAAAATGTATAATAAGTATAAATATTATATAATAATATTTAAGAAATATTTAGTACATGTAAAAATTATACTTTTAAAAGATAAATTGCAGAATTGTACTCTACTTATAAAATGATGTATTTAATATTGCATGTATTTTGTTTTTAAGCCCTGCCGTGAGACTTCAACAGCATTAAGTTTTCGGAGATGTTTATTTAATAATACTTTCAATAATAACTTTACCTCGGTGCTGTACAGACTACTTATTTGCATGGCTTATGTTTTATGAAATTAAAGCTAACTGCAAGCATCAACTTTAATTAGTTGGTCTATTTTAATTCAGCATGACTTGGATTCACAGCTTTCCTCACCCGGGGTGCTAACTCATGCATTCGTAGAAACACATCACGTTCTGAAAATTTCCTGAAGGTGTGGATGGCACTCTCAGAGACGAGTGTACTTCTCTCTCTCAAGATGCGCCTGTGTTGATTGGCTGTGTACAAGTGCCACCTCAAGCCAGTCATGTGCACAGACATCATTGAGTGAGCTTCATTTAGGTTGTAACACGTTTCTGTGGCACCTGTATCTAGAGGCAAATATTCTTTTCTGATTTAAAAGCTCTGGGTTTGTTACGTTGTGAAACGTCAAAAATATGAATGACTTCACACACTGTATGTGAGGCATGAGCTGCAGGTAGATTTAGAGCAAAGTTGACAACTTTTCAAGTTTTGACAGCTTTCATTAAAGGGAAAGTCAACAATAACGAGACTGAAATGAAGAAATACTCTAAAGTTTTTACCCCCTATATGCAGATCTACAACAGACATTATGCTTAGTGTAAACATCTTCATTGATTGCAATGGAAGCAATCTAGTTTGTCACATTATCCTGCAGCATGTACTTCCATTGCATGTTAAGAGTTGCAGCTGAAATGGTTTTCCTTAAACAAATGAAACATTTTCTTCTTTTGCCTTTAATTTTTGAGCAAAATATAATCTTTTAGACTTTTTGTTTGCCCCAATATATCTTCATTCCAGTTTCATGTGCTTCTACTAATTTAAATGAGTTATTGAATTATATGATCTGAAAATAACTCTTCACAGTAAGGAAATTCATGTAATCCTGTTCAAAACCTTTTCAGTATAGTTTTAAAGGACTGATTATAGCTTTGTTTTTTTGTTATTTATTTTATTTTATAAAATATACATTTTATGTATTTTATTAAATTACATTGTTATAATTTATTACACTTTTTAAATAACATTTGATTTTATTTTATTTTAAATTAAAATTGTATTTATTAAATTGTATTATAATTTATTAGACTTTCAACATAACGTTTTATTTTATTTCATAAAAAGTTAATTTAATTGATTAAAATTCATTATTTTGTTTTTATGTAATGTAATGTAAGACCAAGGCTTACTTTTTCTACAAAAATGTAAAATGTCATTACCATCACACAAAATGCCACAAATCCACACCACCACACATTATTTCAGAAACCACTTGTAGTCTGATGAAGGCCATGATCAGAACTTCCAGGACATGATAAATGTTTAACGTTCATGCTATTTATTTTTTTGAATAGTTTAATATGTAATTTGCATAAGTGAAGAATCACCAAACTACAATTGCAAACATTGCATCACTGCCCACAGTAGTAATTCTCCGATTTTTAGATGAACCATTCAACCTCCTATTTTGTTATAAACTAACGTTGTTATTTTTTTTTCCTGTGCCCCACCTTTTCCTTCTCCTTTTGTGCATCATTCACCTTTTGCTTACTTGTTCTTTCTTTGCTTTTGGGCCCTTTTCTCTCTCACCCACACACTTGTTTGTTCTCTGGCTTTTTTCTGAAGGTTTGCCCGCCGACTGAATAAGATGGTGCGGTTATTGGTGCCTGACTGTGACGTGCGTTTCTTGCGCTCTGAGGATGGCAGCGGTAAGGGGGCTGCCATGGTTACAGCTGTGGCACACCGGTTGGCAAAGCAGCATGCAGAGCGTCAGCGTATCCTGAACACCCTGCGTCTCAGTCGGGATCAACTCCTGGAGGTGAAGAAAAGGATGGAGGAGGAGATGAACCGAGGCTTGGCTAAAAAAACACATGCCACGGCAACTGTCAAAATGCTGCCCACCTTTGTACGCTCCACACCGGATGGAACAGGTTAGAGTGAGAATCACAGAGTTTTCACTTATTTTAATTAACCCAAAATGAAAATTCTATCATCTTTTATTCACCCTCATGTTCCAAAACTACAGAGCCCCTAAAGGGACATGGTGTTGGAAAAAATACAGGGTGGGAGGAAAAGGTTTTTTTTTTTTATTTTCAAATCTTTTGCGAGAGAATGCAAAAGATTTAAAAAATATTTTTCCTCCCACCCCGTATTTTTCCCACCTCCATGTCACTTTATGGGCTCTGCACCATAATTGTGCTCCAAATGACTCATGCACTATATTCCTGAAGTCATATGTTATATGATATAGGTATACTGAATCATATAATATGATATAGCTAAGTATGAAGAACAGACCGGAAAGTACTGTAAACCGTTCAGGATTCAAAAACACCATCATAACATTTATTTATTTATTTAAATTATTTAAAGAAAATTAATATCTTTATTTTCTTTCTTTTGTTTTCTTTTTTCTTAAAGAACTAAACAATCTCTTTCTTAATTTTTTTTTTTTATTATTATTTTTTTAAATATTTGAATTCTGGACATGCATGTGGACTTTGTACAAGCTGTGGTGGATTTGATGCATCAGTTTTTTTTTTTTTTGTTCTCTTTGAAACCCATTGACAGTTGTTGCCACTATAAAATGTGGTATTAAAACAGCTGTGAAAATTAATGTTTGTGTGCTTCGTGGAAACTAATAACAGAAACAGCTTTGAAGATCAGATCACAAATGGGCATGTATTGCATGCAAAATAAAATGTAATTCCATCTTGCCAAAAAAATCAAGGAAGATCCGGAGGGAAAGTGTTTGAATATAAATTGCATTGCATAATACATCATATTTTGATTCAAGCATGCTTAGAATGACGTCAATTTCTGAGAATGTTTTCCATGCATAATTGTTTTTGTGGGTAGAGACAAATCGTATAAAACTGCGAGCAGATACCGTTTATGTATGCATGTATGTGTGTGTGTGTGTGTGTGTGTAATTAGATTTATATATACAGTACACATACATAAATACACATACTTGCTGTTTTGTGTGTGTTTGTCTCTACATATATATATATATGTATATATGTGTATGTGTATGTGTGTGTAGGATCTGAATGAAGATTTCTGAAGGATCAAGTGACATTGAAGATGCTGCTGAAATATAAGATTTGCCATCACAGGAATAAATTACATTTTAAAACAAATTTAAATGTTTTGTATTTTTATCCAATAAATGCAGACTTGAACAGACTTTTTCCAAAAACCTCTTGCCAACCCAAACCTTTCTGATGAGTCTGTTAGTGTACGCACTTAGTGATCTTAAATATGTCTTATTCATATTATATATTAAAAGTGTTTCTTTTCTTTTTTTTTTTTTTAATTCTAAAACTTTATTTGCACGTTTACATACAAATTCTGTTTTCATTGTGGTCTCAGACTTTTGAAACCCCTTGTTAGTGCGCTGATACAGCTAAAACGCAAGTGAGATGGAGAAACAAAAGAAGAATTGCGACTAATCTAAATAGGGCCAAAACTTTATTGACCAATATAGGGCAAAAAAAAAGATAAACTGTAGTATATGTAAAACCCTCACTGGTATGAGATACAAATCAATTACCACTCTGTATCTACTCCATACTACCTATGTAACTATATCGTTCCAAAACAGTCCAGAAAGTTGATTGGTGTGTGGGTGCGTGTCTGAACGAGAGAGTGTGTGTTGTAATGTGTGTGTGTGTGTGTGTGTATGAGATAAATTGTTACAGTCTCTGAATCTATTGTGAATTTTCTTCAGAGCGTGGCGACTTCTTGGCCCTGGATCTGGGCGGCACAAACTTCAGGGTGCTCTTGGTGCGCGTTCGAAGTGGGAAAAGACGGAGCGTGGAGATGCATAATAAGATCTACACCATCCCCCAAGACATTACCCAGGGCACCGGCGAGGAGGTATGCCCTCTAATCATACTCCACTTCATTAACACCCATTCAAGATGCAAATTGGGTACAGGGTGGATTCCTTTCATTTGCATGATGATTACGTTGCAGTGGAAAAATTGTTGATTTTATTTTTTTCTTAACTGAGCTTCCAAATTGAACTGAAAATGGCCCTAATATATGATGGTATTGTGCGTCTTGGATTACAGGATAAGCACACTAGACGTACTATGTGACCTCCTAAGTAAAGCTATCCCTGTTTTTGAATGTGAAGTGCACTTTATTTGAAAGTGGTCACCGCACAGCACTCGAGCGGTACAATCCAGCTTCCAGCTGCATACATAGTGGTGTATTGTAGGATGGAACTGCACATCCAGACACTTGTTGCAGCATAACCTGTTTTCTTGTACTTGTGGGGTTTCCAGTGATACTGCTGTTGAGCTCGTTTTGATAAGCACATATCCTAGATAATGCACTTTGTGCATGAATGATCCTTTATCTTCACCTTTGTGTGTGTGTGTGTGTGTATGTGTGTGTGTGTCTGTTTGTGCGTGAATGGTCCTCTGCAGTTATTTGATCACATAGTGCACTGTATTGCTGACTTCCTGGAGTATATGGGTATGAAGGGGGCATCGCTGCCTCTGGGTTTTACCTTCTCGTTTCCCTGCCATCAGACCCGACTGGACCAGGTAAGTCCACACATATTCACATAGACATCTCTGCTTATCTAAACGAGGACAAACTATAGACTTGTTTTGTTTTCAAATGTAGGTAAATAAGACTTTTTGGTGATTTTTAGCACTGTAAAGTGTGCTTCTACAAATAGGGTACAAAATGGGACTTAAACTCATAAAAAAATTTATTATATATTTTTTTTTAAATCAAAGGTTTAATTGAAATGCAACTATTTTTTCTTTTCAATGTTAAATTATGTGTCATATGTATCTATTTATCTGTCATTAATAATAATGATGATGTGTGTGTGTATGTGTGTGTATATATATATACATACACACAGTACTTTGTGTGTGTTTACAATAAAATAACAGGATTGAATGATGATTTATTATTTATTTCTTACTTTGAATTTTATATTAAGATTATTAACAAATTGTCAAATGTTGACATTTGTGTGATTGTAGTCAGAAAGATTGGATTGCAGAAAGTAATCAAGATCTCTGATGTGAGAAGCCAAAATCATTATTTTAAGGGTAGTTTCAAACAAACTAATTTTCATGCTAAGGTAATTTAATGTAATATAGTGGTTTATGTAATAATTTTCTCTCTAAAGAACATGGTGGGGTTCCTACCTATATTGCTTTAAAAAAAATTAATGGGACATCAATTTGTACCATATTATAGAAAGTGGCACAGATATTTACTCTTTTATAAATCATTTTTCCTTAAGATGATGTCCCTCAGGTTTAGCTAATGTCTGGGTTTTTTTTCTTCGTAATAATTTTCTCTCTAAAGAACATGGTGGGGTTCCTACCTATATTGCTTTAAAAAAAATTAATGGGACATCAATTTGTACCCTATTATAGAAAGTGGCACAGATATTTACTCTTTTATAAATCATTTTTCTTTAAGATGATGTCCCTCAGGTTTAGCTAATGTCTGGGTTTTTTTCTTCTGAAATTACAAACACAGAAGCAATGAAAGCAGTGAACCATTTATCTACAGTGTTGTCCTGTGTCCACTATATTCCCATCTGTCTTCCTCACAGGGTATCTTGATAAAGTGGACGAAGGGCTTCAAGGCCTCAGGGTGTGAGGGAGAGGATGTGGCCACGCTGCTGAAAGACGCCATCCATCGCAGTGAGGTCAGCACTACCACCCACTAAAGTGCTGCAAAAGCAATTTCTGCACTTATTAGCCACAATTACTCTTGTCTTTTATGGCAAGATGTAATTAGTAGATGTTCAGTCAGATGAATCGTGTCCTGAAAGGCAGTCATGGTTCATTTGCTTTGCCTTGCTGGTAATCCCTCTCTCTTTGTCTGTCTACTTTTGTTTTCTCAAAGGACTTTGATTTGGATGTGGTAGCTGTGGTGAATGACACCGTGGGCACAATGATGACATGTGGGTACGAGGACCCACAATGTGAAGTGGGGCTCATTGTCGGTGAGTGTGATTTCTTGGCCTCCGCGCATCTGATTAGTTTGTGTAGATGACTTTCATGGTTCATAAGATTTAGTGATTGTCTAGTTGCCTCAATATGTATTTAAATTCCTATGTCTTAATTTAAATATGCATGTCATTGCATTAGAGCACGGTTTACCAAATGGGGCTTCCTGAGGGAACTGCAGGGGTTGTGTTAGTTGATGAAAAGCAAATAATTAAATCAAATTTAAAATTAAAATAAATAAATGTGGCTGCACAATTAATTGAAATAGAACTGAAATTGCAGTTTAGCTTAGTGGGATAAGCAAATCAAACATTGCTATTTAATTAAAAAAAACTATTCTAACTAGTCTATTTTGCAGCGTGTTTCAGAGCGGAACCGTTACAGAGCTTACAGTGTTTTCAGTGTCGGTTCACAGTAAATGCTGATTTTCATGAACTCCATTGAACTGCAGTTTCACATGCATTTTGGGAATGCAATATGTGTTACGTTCACCTTATTTACTTTATTCACACTTTATTATTTTGCACAGTTTCCAACATTTCTGTGGATAGAAGTTTACAGTATTTCACCAGTATTCCTATAAAATAAAAGCTTGAGGATTTAACAATTTAAAGTGAATAATTTAGGACATAAATATTAATAATGTAACTTGCAGTGTAAAATAAAATAATTATTAGGCACAGAATGATCAAATTCATTATTTGATTTACAAAAGTAATACATTTATATCTTCATTTTTATAATTAGAGTTTTATATATATATATATATATATATATATATATATATATATAAATAGTAGTATTTGACATTCTTCACATTTTTGAGCAATTAGCCTTAAGCACTTGGTGTCAAGGTGATTTTTAGAGGATGTATGAAGGCAGTTCCTTTCAAAGTCACATCGGTTTGACTACCACAAATATTTTTTTTTATCTTCATGTTCAATTGTGTTTTTATTGTTTTATCATTTAAAGCATAACACCATACATTTTTGTGAAGTATTTTGATTTAGACATGTGCTTCTGCTATTTTGTCAAATTAAATGCCCTTTCTTTGATATTTTATATCTTGGTATTTTATATTTTTAAGTTTAGTGTTGATATCTTAGATCATTTTCGGGGACATTGTAAATGTATTTGTGTACAGCATCTGATATCATTCCTGATATTTATGTGTGAGAGAGTGTATTTGTATTTGTGAACTGCATGCTTCAGTGCGTTTCTGTCTTCATCCTGTAGGCACAGGGACTAACACATGCTACATGGAGGAGATGTCAAACGTTGAGCTGGTGGATGGAGATGAGGGTCGTATGTGTGTGAACATGGAGTGGGGAGCGTTTGGGGACCGCGGGGAGCTGGATGACTTGTGCACAGAGTTTGATCGAGCTGTGGATGACCAGTCCACTTACCCTGGGAAACAGCGGTGAGAGTTCAAATCTTGATACTTCATGCGATGTCAGCTTCCTGTTAGAGAAATGTTGGCATGTCTAATGGGGTTTCAGATTTGAGGCCCAGGATGGTGCAGGTCAAACACGAATGCTGGCCAGGATCAACCCAGACGTCAGGTTTTTGCTCTGGCTTCCAGTCACACATGAAATAGATTTTTTTTAAGTGCTATTACTTATTTATAGGTGACTCATTATGGATATGCTTGCAGAATTTAAACCTATTGTACCACTTAGATCATTCGATTCAGGTCAGCTTAGTGCAATGCCTAGGGTTCTTTTCAAACATGATGAAACCGCGTTTAGCTACTAAACTGCCCGCAGCTGGAACCTACTTCAAGAAGCTCTCAGATGTGTCCCAAAATCAGTCAGATTCAAGTCCAAACTGAAAACCCATTTTTACATTTGCATTCTCCATCACAGAAGTAGTTTACTGACACATGTTTATTTAGACAGTCTTATGCCATTTGAAACATGTATGATTTTCTTTTTTTCCACAGAACGTAAAAGGAAATGTTTTAAAGGATTCAAGATGCTTTTTTCCATGCAATAAAAATGGGCAAAACACAACAAGCAAAACCCCTTAAAATCTCACCATTACCATCAAATCTAATTCACACTTGTGCACATTAAACCCAAAGGTGAATAAGATATGAGAATGGGAATGAGAATGGCAAGATTTTCAGCTAATTCCTGGTGTATCTTCCAGTGTGTTTTCTTACATATGACTTTGTCATTTTGTGTTATGTTTTATTTTTAGCTTGTATTATTTTTTTATTATAATGAACTCAGTAGTAAAAATATTGAATTTATTTAAATTCAAATTAATTTAATTTAATAAAATAAATTCAATTTAAAATTAAAATTCAATTTAAAATACCATAAAAAAATATATATATATACATATATATATATATATATATATATTTAAAAATACCATTAAAAATATTTATAATTTTACTATTTTATAATACCTTTTTGCCTTTTTTGGAGCTTTATAAATAACAGTGGAGAGGAAAATTACCAGCTAATGTTTCTGTTTGCATTCCAATCAAGAAAGAAAATCATGGCAATTAATGGTCATGTATTAATTTAGGTGACATGTCCCATGAGTGCATTATTTTGTTTTCTTTATGTCGTTTTATTTACAGTTGCAGGAAAAGTATAGATTGAAAACCATGGATTGACCATAAATTGATCTGATCATCAGTCGTTACAACACCACCTGCTTAAATTAAAAAATCTAAAAATGTCAACCCTTATTCATCCTGCATTCAATAACAGATTTGCCATCCTCCACCAATATTCAATAATAGGCAACTTTAACCTCCACCAAATGTTTCCTGTAAGAGCAGATCAGATCTACACAGCAGTCAGGAGGAATTTTGCTCCGTTCCTCTTTACAAAACTCATTGAGTTCAGCAGTAATCTTGGGATGTGTGGTCTGAATGCAGTCTTGAGATCATGCCAAAGCATCTCAGTCAGCTTGAGGTCAGGACTCTGGAGTGACTGAACCATGCCAGGAGGTGTATTTTCATCTGTTGAAGCCATTCTGTTGTTGATTTACTCATGAGCTTTGGTTTGTTGTCCTGTTGCATCATTCAGCTTCTATTGAGATTCATTTGGCAGACAGATGGCCTTGCATTCACCTGCCAAATGTCCTGATAAACTCAGAATTTTCCCATTGACGATAGCAAGCTGTCAGGCCCCGAGGCAGCCGACAGCTACAAACCATGATGGCCTCTACCACCATACATTATGATAGGGATGTGATTTGATGTTGATTTGCTATTCCTTTTTTTGCACACACACAGTGTTGTTGCTAGTAGCGCTGTGAAAAATCTAGGTGAACATCACACATTTTTGGAGAGCAGGAGCATCCTGGTTAGGTGTTCTGAGATCCCTTTTGTTTGAAGCATACTTCACAATAGTTTTTTTTTATACACACTACACTACCGTTCAAAAATGTATGGTCTGTACTAGTGTTGTCACGGTACCAAAATTTCAGTATTCGGTACCAATACCAGTGAAAATCCACGGTTCTCTGTACCAATTTTGGTACCAAAGCAAAACACAAAAACATGCTAATTAAAAAATGTGACTATACTTTCATTTAATCCAAACTGTGTACATATTTAATTTTAAAGGGCTTTTGAAAATCAGAGCATTCTGGCAAAAAGTTATCAAAAGCTTTTTGATATACCAAGCTGTTTTCTTAAACTGTGTTAACGAATTTGACAAAGTTTGTGAAAACAATGGACATGAGGCTATATCTCCGCAATGCTTTAGTGGATTTTGACTAAACTTGTTATTTGTTATAACAAGCATGACCTGAGTAGTTTCGGCACAGCGCCACCTACTGGTCAAAAGATATAAAAAATTGACATTTCAGCTTATAACTGCTGAGCAGTTTGGCCAAAAATAAAAAAATTGAGCTCGTTAGATTCGTAACGGCATACCGAATCAAACGATACCCAATTTTTCTATGCCTTTTTGGGTGTCGGCTATTTTGAGTTTTGTAGTAAAATGCTGTTTTCATCAAATGCCTTTAACAGGGGTCTTCAACCTTGCTCCTGGAGAGCTACCATACTGCAGAGTTCCGCTTCAACCCTAATCAAACACATCCGAGCCAGCTAATCAAGCCTTGCGTCCCAATGTTCATACTATCCATCCTAAATAGTGTGTGAGATTAGAATAAGTGTGTCCCAAATCATAGCATGTTGAAAAGTGTATGCCATAAGTCCCGGGATGGTCTCAAAAGTGTGTACTTTTTACTTATGCATTATTGAGGGACGATGATTAATTTCCTTATTTCTTTCTGTCACTTTTCAGGTATGAGAAGATGATCAGCGGGATGTATCTTGGCGAGATCGTCAGAAATGTCCTCTTGGACTTCACTGCCAAAGGTCTGCTTTTCCGTGGCAAACTTTCAGAGAGACTGAAAACTCGCGGCATCTTCGAAACCAAGTTCCTGTCGCAGATTGAGAGGTGTGTGTGTGAGAGGAATCCATCACCAGACATTGGCATCTGGTAACATTGGTATCTGAGCCTTAGGGGCCTTCTGCTTTCCTTCAGATGATATTTAAATGCTAAGCACACTGATTATGTCCAATATTATTCGATAAGCCTAAGGCATCTTGGCACATTTAATTAGATTTGTGTTATTTTCTTTTGTTCAATCATAAGGTAATATTCCAACCAAGGACCACCCATAAACTTTGGCTGGATTTGGCATGTTTTTGCATATCTATGCTATTTATATTCCATCTATGTCCTTTGGGGAAGAAATGCAGCCGTGGTGTTTTTTTTAAACCTTGATTTAGGTAAACTTGTAGGAGGAGATATGCAATACAGTTTGTTCTGTGACTATTAATTATTAGTCTACATAATCAATCGGGCTCTTTCTTGCAGCGATCGTTTGGCTCTGAGGCAAGTTCGTTCCATCCTGCAGCACCTGGGTTTGACCAGCAGTACGTGTGACGACAGTATCCTTGTGAAGGAAGTTTGCAGCGTAGTGTCCAAACGGGCAGCCCAGTTGTGCGGAGCCGGTCTGTCGGCTGTGATTGACAAGATACGACTGAACCGTGGCCTTGAGAAACTCAGCATCACCGTAGGAGTGGACGGCACGCTCTACAAACTTCACCCACAGTGAGTAGCGTCTCAGCAGGATGCTGGGATAAGAGCGAAAACGAGACCGTGAATCTCTTTTGCAGATAATACTTGCCACTGATAATTGAGATTTGGTTAAATTAGCTGTTTTCAAACTATAGGTTGTCATTCTACATGTAGCATGTGGGCTTTTGTGAGAGGAGGAAAAAAATTAGCTAATGTCAGGGAAGAAAAATTGTGCCACAATAGCCTGACATGACAGTGTAAATTATCTGTACCCATGACGCTTTGTTAATGTAGTTGTTAAAGCTGAGCCATAAATTATATGCTCCTAGATTGCCTATAGTATTTATGAGGTCTTGATCTTCCATTTTTCACCTCAGTCTCCGTAAAAACGGATTAATCTTTAAAAATCAATGATCCTTTTACATTTGCTGAAAACGGCTGCTTGTATATAGCAATATTTCTCACAGAGTACCGCTTCGAGCAAAGCTGTCATAGACGCTTGATCTCTCATCTAGGCACTCTCTCTTCCAAGATAAAAATAGTAGTGCACAATTATAGGTTCTATTTCGATTTTGTTTTTTACAAACTCCAATTTTTAGTTTAATGGAAAAATGTCATACTACTGTTCAGAAGTTAGGGGTCAGTCCATTTTTTAAAAAGACAATTAATACTTTTATTTTACGAAAACATTGATTAAAGTGACATTAAAGACATTTTATAAGATTACAAAAGATTTCTTTTCAAATAAATGCTGTTCTATTGACCTTTTTAAAAACCTGAAAAAATCCAGTTTTCGACATAATTAAATAATTTAATTGATGCATTTAATTGAGCAGCAAATCAGCATACTAGAATGATTTCTGAAGGATCATGTGACACTGAAGACTGGAGTAATGATGCTGAAAATTCAGCTTTACCATCACAGGAATAAATGACATTTTAAAATATATTTAAATTGAAAGCAGCTGTTTTAAATTGTAATAATTTTTCACAATTTTACTGTTTTTACTGTATTTTTTTAAATCAAATAAATGCAGCCTTAGTGAGCATAAGAGACATTTTAGAAACATTCAAAAAAAGAACTTTTCCAACCCCAGACTTTTAAACAGTAGAACATGTTACTTACTCCGATAAAACTGCTGTTCTTAAAGCAAATTTGCTGATTTTCAACCAGCTTTTTATTGTTACAAAGCTAGCAGTACATGTAATTAAACAGTGTGTACTCTTTCTACAACTTACCTAGTGGTCGATCGATATTGGTGTTTAGACAGCCTATGTAAATATATATATATAT